GACCGCCTCTTGTACTTTTTTTTTACAGTATTGTCATGTTTTCGTGTATAATACTTAAGAAAGATACAATAGGAGAGAAAAATGCATACAAATATTTAGAGACGCTTTCACTTCATCGTAGCGATATAGTGGACGTGCGCTGTATGACGATTGACATATCACAATTTCGTATATTTTATTCTCTTATTATATCGTAACGATATAATAGTATTATATCGTATCGCGTTACGATATTCTAATAGCACTAATTACGATCTAGACAATATTCGTTCAGTCATTTTTGACATTTGACCCGATATCTAGTTGTATTGATGATCGAAGGTTTCTAATTAAGATCAATAAATACAGGCTTAGTTTATTTTGATTTCGAATGTTATCCGTAAACCTATTATACTTGTAGGCTTGTGATTTATACCTATTGGTGTATAGATGTGTGGCTGTTATTATGATACGATATCATGATAATAATCGTTCCATTTATAAAGTAGGTGAATGTTCGACTAGAAATAAAATTATATTTACAAGTGCAGATATATATAAATTCAAGTAGATATTGATAACAGTATGTTACCTCAACAGGGTTTAAACTATTTTTTTTATTAAATTCGCTTTATTTAAAGAAATGTTTACAAATAAATACTTTGTGTTAATCGTTTCAGCGCTAGATAGCTTGGTAATCAACAAAATCAGTTATAATAGGCAAAACATCGTTTTACGTACACACTACAAAAGTTTAAAATCGTTTGATGTCTGTTCTGGTTCAAATCAATGTACAGAATGCAGAGACCTAAACGTAAAGAGTACAAAACACAAGTACATTTTTTTCGTAATTCTGACATCACCGAGGTTATCGTCCTGTGGTGTTGCTTGGGCAGTTATTTTTCTATAGCTTTTTAGATATCTCAAGTTTTCAGTTCAGCTCGTTGAATTTTGATCTTCATGTCTGTGTTAATAAAAACTTAAATTATCAGCTGTCAATCATTGTTACATAATTCCTTTTATAACTCGTGACATACACATGAGATGAGTTGTAAAAGGAATGAAAGTGGATGATACAAGCAATATATATAGCTTTAGCCAAAAATATTTGCCACTTTAGAAAATTACAATTAACTTAAAAAAATACTTAAAGTTTGGACGGGAAAAAACCATGTACTTAAAATACTTTTAATACTTAAATTACATTAATATTCGTACTGAAACCCTTAATTTTAATTAAGTACAGCATTTATTTTTTTTCGGTAAAGAGGAAATTAAATTTTTACATTCTTCTAGAATTATCGCATTTCACTCCTGTATGTATGTATCAAACAATTTTTTTAAAGATTCTTTGAAAGTAATTGAATGTTCCTTTATCTTGCTCTTTTAAATCGACCATAAATGTTCGAAAAGGTTAAGATCCGGTGACTGAGGGGGTCAACTTAGAAGTTCTGTACCATTTTTCTCAAACCAACTCAAAGTAGTTCTGAACTTATGGCATGGGGTATTGTCCTGTTGGAAACGGACTAGGTTCTAGATTCGTATCACCGAACATCATATCCAATGACCATTCCAGCACCTCGATATATTTTTTCGAATTTATTTGGCTTTCACACACGAACATTTTTCCAATTTTCGAGACAGACATGCAGTCTCAGACCATAACACTGCCTCTACCGTGTTTTATAGTCGGTACCGTATACTCCGGTATAAATTCTTCGCCAACTCTGCGTTTCATGTAGATGGCACCTGCAGTATCAAATACCTGAAATTGTTTCACTTTTATTTTTGTGTTCTTTAGACGATAACTGGATTTTTAATCGTTCCTTGTTACTTTATTCATGGCGCTTAGGAATCGTGTAAACTAAAAATTTCCCTAAAATGTCACTTACCTGGAAATGAATCACCTCTATTGTGTTCATAGTTTTATGACATGGTGCGTTGTTTTCATTGGCTCATTCTAATCTTTAGACGTGTACTATGCGACAATAGACCCAGTACATGGTCAATAGATGAGAAATGTCTAAGGATTTTTAGGGTGGCAAATATTTTTGGCCAAGGCTGTATATTTAAAGATAAAAAAAAATTTGCTACTCGGTTCTCTTTGACTACCTGGGAGAAACTTGAAGATAGAATGATAAAGATAGTCAAGATTATTAGTCAACATTAGTTATATCATAAATTCTAAGTGAATAAAATTCAATTAATTATTGTTTTTTATTTCTTCGCGGAGCATAGTTTATTGGCCTTTCTTGCTGTGGTTTAAAGTTGGCTAATATAGTCTTTTTATGTAAGCATTTAATTCATAGTAACTGCTGACACGAGGTCGTCTACACCTAATTAGCTAAAAATATAAATACATAATGTATTAACGATGACGAAGTTCTTATTTACTGTTTAAACTGTTGTTATAGTAAATACATTTTATTAACAGCTGACTAATCAAATGATATAGTAATTAGTTTAAGCTGTAGTTACTTCAAACGTACAAAGACCGTGGCATAGATCAATAGCTAAAACAGTCACGTGTTAAAGATCTTTCTTATGTTCATTAACTGTTGTCGGGAATAATGTTCTTGTTGTTCACACAAGCACTGAAAATGCTTGTGTGAACAACAAGAACAAATTTTCCGAACATTGAAGACGGTCGGCAACATGATAAATTTCCTTTGACATTGTGGACTCGATGATTCAATAAAATACAGAGCGCAGGTCAAGAACACAACAGTATTATAGGAGACAGTAGTATACTCTTGTTCTTAAGTCCTAAACCTATATTTTTTATGTTCTAATTTTAAGACTAGCTCTTGCTGTATGTTCTTTATTCGATGGGTTTAACGGCACTATTAGAAGTGACGTGTTATCTGATTTTTTATGCGTATTTTTATCACGTACTTACTACAGAGAAATACAAAATCTTTCTGGAATCTTTTACAATAAAAAACAATGATAAATTTCCAGTCGATAAACAATGGCGTCCATTTAATATTCACAACATTAAATATTACGGAGACATGCACACAAGGTCGCTAGAGGATTATGTAAGATCCCGATGTCGGTCTATTTTAGTTCAATAAGCATTCTGTACTAGGAACAGGAATCGTTATTTTCATACGAATGTTTACAACGTTTACATTTAGGTTTGAAATAGGTATATTTAAATTACCCGATACTAGAATTAGGTGACCTATATTTTATCTCCCTTTCACGTAAACTACTGTTTACGTGTACAAAGATTAAATATCGCGTACGAGAACAGTAAAAAAACGTTATTACTTTATCAATAAGTTGTCAGTTCACTCAATTATAAATTAGTATTATTTTTATTATTATATATGACATAAATACTGTTTAAATATTTTATTAGTTATTAATATTTTTATAATTCAACCAGACGACCATACTAGATTTATGTAGCGTTATTTTTGTTAGGTTTGTCTTCGTAGGTATGTAGGTACTGTGAAGTTGGTTATTTATTAAGAATTTCAATTACGTCAGAATGTATTGTAATATTACTTTATATTTTTGTACTTGTTTTTAATAAGAAGAGGTTCTTATTAGGTCATTAATATCGACTGCATTTTTGTGTGTACACACAGTACGTTATACTTTCGCCGTTTCCAAAAATTCTTTTATTTAAATCACTTGTAGGGAATTAGTGTTAGTACCTATGTTTATGTACCCATTTTAAATACTTGCACATTTATTTTCTTTTTTTATAATTATTATATTCTTTTTAGACTTCTGTATATGGCTTATCATCTCATATTACGTGTTCAAATAGATTAACAAAAAGTTATTAATTTGAATATTCTTAATATAATAAATAATCAAGAGGGTTTACACCTTGGGATTGATTCAAAAACTAATTTTGGTCAAGTTGTAGAGGTTTCATTTTTAAATATTTTTTTTTGTACAGCTAAGGTGGCAAACATACTCCTTGTTCTTTTTTTGAAAATCCTACAAACATACATGTTACTGGTATTTGCTTATGAGTTTGTCATTATCCTCGAGATACAAAAGTAGCCTATTTACTTCTCTATGTCAAATACTATGTGCGTAACAGTCGAATAAATTAGATATAAATAAGGATTCATTGTTTTCCTTTCAATCTTTATTATAAATGTTTTCATGATAATTCTCTCTTTTTATTTAAGAGTTTTCTCTTGTCGATGCAACTAATTCATGCCTCTTCTTTCAGCCAGCTTTACCCCAGGCCATATCCTTGATTTCCCTATATGACATGACACCTAGTGATTATTTATCTGCCACATGTGGTTATTCCTCGGTCTTCTCATTCCTATTTTGCCTTCTACTTTTCCTTCTATTATGCTGTTTAAAAAATTGTCATGTCGTCTAAGGTGGCCCACTGTTGCTTTAGTTTATGTCCGTTTCTCATTTACCCTTTTTAAGACTTCCTCATTCGTTACTTTTCGTGACAACTACTTTACTCATATTGAATGTCAGGGCTGCCTGGTCGTTACCAGGCAAAATGGTGCCGGCATAGACCGCACGTGCTACTCGCGTGATAACTTTTTTTTATCTACTATAGTTATTTACGTTAGACGTGTGTGGTAGCGACTATCTTACAGGCTCATATCTCGACAACAATACATTTACACAAAAATACAACATGCTTCGCTATAGCGACTTCAGTCAATGTATATCGATAAATAACAAACTGTTTGATATGATAGATTGAATATATTTGAATTTAGAACGCGTCTACTTGAACGTTTTGCTTTGCTACGTGTTCTTTATTCTGCAGTTTCAAACTACATAAAAATAATATGGTGTTAACCTTATTGATTGCAAAGTTTTTAAGAAAGTTCTAAACTGGTAATGCAGTCGTGCAATATAGTATAATAGTGCCACACACAAAAAAAATATTTACAAAAAAAATTTATCACCCCTTTATCCTTATAAAAGTAAATTGAAGGTATTGGACACATGTAATGTCTTTTGCGATAATAAGTAAGTAGTAGGATTATACCTAATATAGATAATATTTTTATTTATAGGTACACAGGTGACAAAGGCTCAAAATGACGGTGGAGAAAACAAAAGGGACAACGCCAAAATTGCCGCCGGCAACGAAGAAGGTGGCCCCAGATGGCGGCTGGGCGTGGATGGTCTGTTTGGGAGTCAGTATCGTAAATGTAAGTAATTTATTAAAAAAAAGATAAAAATAATGCTAAGACTAAAAAATCCCTGATAGGGTTGAATCAGAGGTTTTTGTAATTGGATGAAAATTGAATGGTAATTGTTACAGTGAGGGATGATAGATGTGGATAAAGTTAGGTCTTTTTTATGGCTGAAAATGGAAAGTTAAACCCGGGTGTGCTATCAATATATCCCAGCGGGACACTAGTCAGAGATGATATAGGTAGCAAAGGGTGTTTTAGACTCATTACTAACAATTCCTTTCCTCTCGATAAAGACAGCTCTCTTTTTTAATGAGTGAAAACGAAATGGTAACCCCCCGCGCTATCAATATACGTTAGCGGAGCACCAGTGAGAGATGATGTAGGTGAGCATGAAAGCAGTTTGCCTATCGTAACGAATTCAAAAGGAAATAATCTATATCAGAGATATTTGTCGACTGTAATGGTGAACGTAACACTCGGCATGTTCACATTTAGTTCGGGCATATTAGAATTCATTGTGGCAGGAAGCCAGCCTAGTGCTCTCTTTTAATTTGGTGTGTTAATGATGTCTTTCATCACTGACCCAGTATTTTACTTTCTTCAATACATAATACATATAATGACTGTCACTTTCGACTGTTGTTTTCACGTTCCTCCCTATATGAGGAGATATCTCTTCATTCTATTCTTACCTATTCTGGCTAATGTGCACGTAAGTGTTTATAACAAAATGAATAGTATAAGTCAATACGTTTTCAAATATCATTTATCTTAAACAAAAGATACTTATGTTATATTGTATTGTTTTGTATTATATTTAAGTATTGTGTACAGTAAGGAAAATATACAGTGATAGATAGCATATTGTAAGCCATTGAACGGTGTGTTGTACCTCTATGTAAGTCTAGTGTAACGCCAAGCGACGCCGTTAAATATCTAAGAATATGATATTCTGCGTGGGAATATTTGCGTCAACTGTGACGTATCAAAAGCAAATTTTTTTGACTAACATTTGAGGATATTCTGTAATTAAAAATTGCTAAAATTTCTGCGATCTAAAACTCTCAAGATTTCCAGTGTTTTTATAGAATGAAGATTGTATGGCTATCTTGCTTGCGTTACCGTTATATGCTGCGGATATCCGCATGATAATATTACTAGCAATAAGGAATAGTTATTACTAGAAGTCCCTTCTTCCTTTGAGAATAGTTTGCAGCAAACAATTTGAATAAAATCGTAGATAATAATAATGCCAGAGCAATAGACTGTAATTATTTGTAAGTAAATTTTTTATCGTAGTTTAAATGTACCAGTTATTGGACTACGAAAAGATTAGAATAGAGTTTCAGTCATGTTAGTGATAAATAAACATTATCAGTGCTAAATCATGGTACAGTGTTGCATACACTTACCGATCTCTAAAATTACGATGATGTATTCAAGCTTCGCCGTGTCGGTCCCGGCATTGAAAAGGCCACCCCTTCCTTTCCTGTGGGTGTCGTAAGAAGCGACTAAGGGAGCTTATGGTGGAGGGATGGGCAGCAGTGCCCCTCTTAAAACATCTATAAAAGCCTAATTGCGGTTGCCAATCTGTCTGTTAAGCGTGGCAACTAATGACAAAACTCCCCTTATGGCGAAGGCTTATGTTCAGCAGTGAACAGTTAAGAGCTGAAATAATAAAACATTCAAGCTTAATTGTTATCGTAGTCCTAAAAAATGTATTAGTAATTTTTTTCATTATCAAACTGGAGAACCGTGTTAAATCGCAAATTTGCAAGTTTTCGGGCCTATTTTATCTAGTTTTAGGATGTAAACTTTGATTCAACTAGCCGGTTTTGCAAGATAACATCGACATATCAATCACTGAGTAATGTAATAAAAATAGCTATTTTCCTGTTACACATTCATATTATTAGAAATTAACATATTAATAATATGTAATGTATTTTAATTAGTTACCATAAGCTTTTATATTCTGAGTATCAATGCTATAATATATCTGTAATAGATTGTGCAATTAATTAGGATAAAATATTGTACTAATGCATATTTTTTTAAAGAATTTAAAGGTACGTCTTACTCCACAGAAAAGCGATTTCATTCGTAAACACACACATTGGTAAACGAAAAGATGTTTCGCAGACGCATTTGACTTTAAATATTTGAATTCACTTCACAATAATTTGTTTTTTGCTCTGTAAAGAAAAACAGCAGCTTCAATCTGCACAAATGTAATAGTTATTTTAGTGTTCGTGTTGAATCAACCCATCAACACTAGAATAAATCCTATCGATTGTAAAATAGAAAAAGAATCATGGAAATCGGCTCAAAATTAGCGATATAATTGTCTAACATAGCTACAATGAAATCTCTTTACGCTTTATAACTCTTTAAAACATTCTAATAACTAGAAACACTTAAACGTCAGGTTGTTACCAATTAAAATATTTGCATAAGTAGTGAATTACATAGATGTTCTTATAATATTAGAGCTAAAATTGTATCATTTTAAATTCAGCATACTTTTGACATTAAGAGCCTATAACTCTGGAATTCCGTTTTTTTTTTATAGTTTCCTCACAGACATTGATGCACTAGTAAGATATGAAATATTTTTGTTTTAAATATTTTATAAACAAGTTATGTCTTGATAAACTATTTATAGGTATAATATCCTTGATATATATTGATTAGAAAAAAAAAACAAGAATGTTAATGGCACAATATTTTTGTAAAATTGTAAAAGTACTAATGTCTTTTTGCATTTTACAATGCGCTATTGGATCCATTAAAAATTCTTTACTGTACAAAATATTATCTAATTTCTATTATATAAAATTAATTTAAAATGTATGCTAACCACATTTGTTATCCTGATGTTTATAGGAAATGTAATAGTATTCATTAAACGACGATTTGCAGTAAAATAGATCACTGAGAAATCAAAGAATTAAGTTATTTTAACGGATCCAAAAAATATGATGACAATGAATATCTAAAATGTATATCTCTGTTTATCCTAAAGGTTGACTAGAGAATATCTATAGCATTAAGTCAGCCTTTTGCACCACATTTTATTAGTCAAATAAATAAGTATGTGTATTTGCTTAACATTCAATATAACTCACATTGATGGATCTAGCGTGGTACTTCAAATAAATGTTTATGAGGACCATTACAGTAGTTCCATGTCACATGGTTCCGTTCATGTCAGATATGATTGATGGTATTGCGTGGACGGTACTATTGCTATTAAACCTAATTGTTGTTTATTTTTAGTAGAAAAACTCAAGAAAATCGATTAGGTACTATTTTGTGGAAAACGTGCTATTTAAGTAATTACACAGAACATGAGATTTAGTAAGATTAGACACTTTTGCCAATAGATATAGATTCTCTTATATGTATTTAAAAATAGTCCTTTCGTGGATTTTATTAGTAGCTAGTTAAATTGTGATTTTCTTACGAATTTATTATATCTTTAATAATAACTGGATTTGATGAAGACGGTCATATATAATTTATATGGTTAAATTAAAACCTGTGACAGTATAAGTGTTTACACTTACAAAAAAAATTATTAAGGTCATAACGATATAAAATATCTCTGACTGTAAAGTGATAGTTATGTATCCCAAGTACTCTCAAATGTTTCGATATTGATAAGAATCGATTTGAACCATCGACTTATCAAAGAAAGTGGTCTCTTCTGGAAATAGGTTACATTGCGTCACATCAATATTGACAATTAAAATGACTTCATTATATGATGGATGCGTCTTGCCTTAGCGGTATGTACGCCGTTTACTCATGATCCCAGGATTTTAGTCCGCAATTATATACTTGTTCCTACGGTTCTTTATTTACTTCTATATTACATAACCTAAATAACCAGCTTGGACAAAATTGTTATGTAACCAGATAAACCGATTACTTAATGTAATATATAGAATTTTAAAATTATCAAAAGAATTATCAAACTCTTTATAAGAACCATTCCCGAACTTCAATGAATATTTGAAAAATAAAAATAAAATATATTCAAATTCGGCCAGCCGTTCTCTAGTTTTACGTTTAAAGATTCATTTTTATTTATATAAATAAAATAACAACAACACATTTTTATGGCCTTTTCCGCTTCCAATAATAACAGGATGTGTTGTGATCAAATCATAAAATATTCTACTGTAAAATAAGTTTTTGACAGTTTATTTATTACTGTCATCATGGAATTGGTACTTTTACAATTTAGGCGCTACAAAAAATATAAAAAATTCATTAAACTGTTTTTGCTACAAATTGCGGCATATTTACATAAATAAGAATATCATTACCCTCTTTCTTTGCTAGTCGGTTAAAATTAATATTTAATAATTATTATAATTGATTATTTTCAGTTTTCAACGCGTTCACTCGAGCCCTCATTTGGTCTTCTCTTCAAAGACCTGTTAGATGATCTCGGAGTCCATACCACTGGTGCATCAGTCATTGCCAGTACCTTGGATTCCGTTGTTAATTTCTCCGGCTTCTTTGTGGGACCGGTTATCAAGACCTTCTCGTATCGGAAGGTGTGCGTGGTGGGTTCTGCTATATGCGCGTTGGGTCTCCTGTTTACAGCACCAGCGAACAGCATGGGTCATATATTAGCTACATACAGTATTATAGGAGGTGAGTGCTAGATATAAGTATACCTGATACATTTGTTTTTAATCACAGAGGCAGGAAATAAGCATACAGCTCGTTTTATAGTAAACACAGTAGCCTATGGACATATACAATACCAGGGATGTCACGTACGTTTTGCTGACCCTGAAACAATTTGTAATGTAGTTTTTTAATAGCAGCTTATATATCATAGTATCTTTGTAGTATCTAAGGAAAATCTATGCAAAAATGATATGATTAAAAAAAGTTTTAAAAACAAAAATAGCATTGCAGATTACTACTATGATGCTGTTTTTTCTCAAAATAGTAATATTTAGAAAATACTTTTTCTAAATGGTTTAGTTCGAGAGGTCGTTTACTATGAACAAGTAACTTTTGTAACATTAATCTGTTTGCGGAATAAGCCTTTGTATATACAACTATAACGACAATAATAATTTTCCATTGAAAATTAATTATTCAGCGGAATTAATCAAGTGATTCATTTTATTAGCTTCTGTTTTCTGATTAATTGGTATATTTACTGCGATATAGTACAAAATATAAGTTCCACATTATAATTTGCGACTATATATCCTGTTTATCAAATTTGAATCGAATTCCTTCACCCATTATGTCGAATATATAATAATACCTATAAAACTAGTGTTTAAAAAGTATTATTTTATGAACTACTACAGTTGAAAGTTTTTAATTGTGATTCAAGTCGCATGCACGAGAAAATTTTGTTCGTAAAGGTCCTTATTTAATTTTCCTTAACACAGTTTTGTTATATATCAAATAAAAGTTTTAATTGTAATGAATCTCGCTATAGAACCGCGATTAATGTCGCAATTCAAATATATTCAATTGTGTAAATATAACACAAGATGGTCAAACAGTCGCAGCTTGTTCTCTGGTAGTAACACAGTAATTATCGCAAGTTAAAAAAAAAACTATACGAAAATAGATTACTGTGATTCTATTTTGTAGCTAAGCACTTAGTTGTTATGCAAATAGCCGAACCTGATGAGGTTGTTTGTTAAAAAAAATCCGCTTGTATGTGGGCTCAGTTACAAGCTATAGGAAAATTGTTGCGACCTTCAGAACATCAAATAATCTACACGGTTTAAACGACAATGACGTTTCATGGAATCACTTATTGTATTTTAGATATGCATTTTTTTTTTTATTTTATATATTCTTTACAACAAGGTATTAACAATATGTGATTATCGGTATTATTTTTTATCAAAGGTAATTAATTAATCCTCTGTACCAAATAAGAAGGATTAATTAAATTTAATAACCTTATTGAATATTGTGTAATTTTATTTTAACGATGCAACATTGACAAAAACTTTAAAAGGAAATGATTCGCAATTCGGCTGCATTTTTTTTGTGTGTATGTTAATGTAAATGTATATGTATAATATCTGTAATTGATGATATTTTTCTTTAGCAATTGATAGGGTTAACTCTCGTGTTAGTCTAATAATAATTAGGTCGCCATTAATGTCGGTTTTTTTGTGGAGAAATAATTTGTTCTTTATCATTTCTTTACCATCGAATTTTGGTATGTACAATTCCAAATAATATGGGAAAACTAATTTTATGATATTGATATGGCTATGCGTAAGTCATTGTATTTGTGTCTTTAGACCAAAATGGCATCTGTGATACAAAAGATAATGTGGGATGTTTTGTTTGTAAGTTCTCAGAATTGGTAACCATTACTGAACGTATTGTTTTACATGCCGCCGCGCCGCGCCTCCGCGTATTTTATTTTTCAGTTTGAATATTTTTCAAACTATTTTGTATATCACTAAAATGTAGGGTTTTAAAGTTCTAATTTTCGTCCATGCTAGTCAGATAACTAGATTACCAGAAAAGATCACACTGAGAAAACAATGGGCGGCCTTATCGCTAAAAGTGATAATGTTTCTTGTTGTACGTAAGGAAGTTGGTTGAATGTTTTTTACCTTACTGTATTTCTGTTAACGGTGAATCTGTTTCGATTTAATTTGTTTGTAATGTTTTATGCAAAAATTGTTAAAAATGTACATGAAAAAGTATGGGTGTAATAAAAATTGTATATTTTGTTATAATCACATTGTTTTTAAAGAGGAAAAAGTTATCGTATTATTTAATTTTTTCAGGGTTTGGAGTCGGTCTCGCGTCCTCTTCCTCGTTCGTTTCACTCAATCATTATTTCTCAAAGAAGCGAGGGCAAGCGGTCGGGCTGTCGATGGCGGGGACCGGTTTCGGTCTGATGGTGATGCCTCAACTAGTCAAGTTGTTATTGGGAGAGTACGGATTCCGGTGGACAGTGGTCATACTGGGAGCGTTGGCCTTCCACGCAGTGCTCGGATCCTGTTTGCTGCAACCTGTAAAAAGACATCTAATTGAAGTACCGGTTGACTGTGAGCTTCAGGCTGTTAAGGTTGGTGATAATGTTATTAGACTGTCTGCATGAAGTTATGTAACTCTGGTACCTACTTTATGTTAATGTATGTAACTATTGAAAAAGTTTAAACAAAAATTATGGATAAGTGAATTTATTAGTTTACTAATAGGTTTGATAATAATATATCGTCGATAAAATGCAAAATAACTGTATACATATTTATGTGATTTTATTATAAATAGATTTAGCGTGTGGTCTCGGCATAGAATAGGCTACCCGTTTCTTTCTCGTGGGTGTAGTAAGAAAGAAAGACGTAGGTGAAGTAAGCGAGTAATGGAACATTATCATATTCATCTCCAACGCCTAACTGCGGTTGCCAACCCGCCTGCCAACCCTCCCAATAGAGAGAGACCTATTTTCAGTAGTGGGCAATTAACGGCTGGTATGGTATGTGGCAGGGGTGGCCAACTTGACTAGACCAAATATCTATTGTTTACTGACGAATCCCAGTGCGATGTACCAATTACATACTTCTTGAAATCTCAAATGAAACAACATAGTTCAGTTCACAATTATGTAGTATTGTAGTATTTTTATTTTATTAAGAGGGAAAACATAAAACTAAACATTATTCTTAGTAACTATTTATTTATATTAGTGTGAGAATTGTGTCTAAACATCTTCCACTAGATTAGCAAATTATTATATTTATGCCTTTCCACGATCGGCTGGACTAGTAGTCACGATCGACCGGTCGATCAATATCTGTTAAGAGGCTTATCATGTTTTGATATTCTGTTAACGACATAGTATAATTAATATTTCCAAGTTTTTTTTTTTATTAAAAATAACTATATTGTTTTAATAATATATATAAAAATGTTTTCCTTTCAGGAAATGGAATGTATATTTGAGAGTGATGAAGAAAACGAGGACAAATTTGAGATAAATCCTCTTGTCAATCCTATACCAAAATTTACGACGCAGCGGTCACATGGCAATATGAACCACCCGTCAGTCCGAACCATTGGCCTGCCAAGAGCGAAGACTTGCGATAAACCATTGCAAGACTTTGAAAAGAATTCAAAGTTGGGGCTGGGGTTGACGACCGCGGCGTCGGTTGCTGCGATGCCGAGGGTGACATCTAGTGGTAGTATGAGTGAAGCGGCCAGGAGACGGAAGGTGTCTGTGATATCCAACATATCTAATATGGACTTCACTGGCAGTTATTTGCAACTGTATCTTGATGTAGGTAGATATTTTCTCTTATATTTTTTTATTCATATAGACTCATAAAACTTTAATGATGTATTATTATAATATAGAAACATTTGGTTAGCGATGTAGTTTTATACTTTAGTAAAAGTCGAAAGAAAATTAAATATTTATTATACATTTTAATAATAATTGTATTCTAATATTAATTTAAAACAATTTTCAAATATGATCTCAAGTATTTCATAAAGGGTGTCGATTTTAAGATTTCCATGTCGAAATTAATAAAAAAGAAAAATTATAGTTGATTTAATGAAATTGGCTAAGCTTGATTTTTCTCATTTATTTCCCGTAATGTAATGACATAATATATTTATTTCAGACAGCTGATGATGAAGCCATACAAATGAAGACCATTAAGAAAGTCGAGCCAGAAGTAGAAACAGAAAAGAAGGGCTTCATTAGGAAGTTTATTGCTTTAATGGATCTAGATCTATTGAAAGACTGGTCTTTTTTGAACCTTTTACTTGGTCTCTCTCTGTTTTGGAGCGGGGAATTACAATTTAGGATGTTAACGCCATTTTTTATTAGGAGTCTCGGATACAATATGAACGATACGGCGTTTTGTTTGTCTATGACGGCCATAACGGATATATTGGTGCGTTTGGTGCTACCGCCGATATTTGACAGGACTACTATATCTAAGAAAATGATATTCTTCGTGTCTTCATTCTTCTTGGCTGTGACTCGTTCTGGTTAGTAATTAAGATTATTTCATATTGATATGAAAACTATCAATGTAATTGTATATAGTTATTTAAAAAAAATAACCTTTTTTTTTAAAAAAAAAGTCAATTTTCTATAACCTATTTTAGCCATTGAACTGTTTTGCATTTGTTTGCGCTGAATTCTTAGTTTGAATGAAAGTGACAAAACAGTGTAATAGTTAAAATAAGTTTGTAAGCGGTTTAAATTTCTATAAATAAAGGCGTAAGACTACAACTATTTCATATTTTATTTATGACGTTACAGCGAACATTACACTTGATTTGGTCACATTTTATAGAGCGTAACTGTTTCTAACAAATGCGTCAATACACGAACCATTTGCAGATTTCGGTTTTTACAAATAAATATGCATATTTAAATTAATTTTTTTTAATGAGAAATAAATATTCAAAAATCTGTTTACAAGCATCGATGATTTTGCGTATGATAATGATAAAAACAATAGTACTTACTGAGGGGCTCCAAGTAGGGGCAGTTTTTCCTAAACATTAAACCAAATTACAGGTAGATACATGTAATTATGCTATTTCGTATTCTCGCTTGCTACTTTTTCTAATTGATCTCATCCCCTTTCGTGATTGGCCGGCAGCACACCTGCAATGCCGCTGGTGTTGTGGGTGATCATGGGCGGCGGTAGTCACTTACCATCAGGTGAGCCGCATGCTCGTTTGCCCCCTGTGTTGTAAAAAAAAAAAATTCAAATACGCCCATTCGCGAAAGGAATCCACTAGCCTCGATCTATATTACACATATACTATTGCGCGTGTATATACATTTATTTATGTATTACTCACAGCCTTGGATCACGGCGATTTTATAGTGTTTGGGATGTGTTACAATTTTAATTTATTCATGATAATAAATAATATTTTTTCTTTCAGTGTTAGCGCATCAATCTGAATGGGTGCCACTTATGATTTGGCTATCTATTTGCGGTTTTTTCCGTGGCATGTGTCTAAGCAACTTCACGCTCACAATATCGGAATACTGTCCTCTGGAGAAGCTACCGGCCGCCTTCGGTCTTCACATGGTTAGCAAGGGCGTGTTTGTTGTTGCAATCGGTCCCATTATTGGTAAGTTGTTTTTTTTTATTTGGATTAATTTTATATTTTTATATGTTTTTATTTGGATCATTTTTTAACTGACTTTAAAAAGAAGGAGGTATTTATTTGTTTGTTACCCATTAGTTCTTTAACGGTTAACCTAACATGAAATTTGATATACGCGTACTGTAAGGGTAACTGATAGGGAAGGATAAGGCCGCTTTTCACCTTATGTCTGGTCACGCGAATAAAGTGGGTAAAAAAAGCCAGTGGGACATAAGGAATCGTTGAAGTGCTTTACGTGGGACGTCACCTATGTAAGACAATATTCAAAAGAATATCAATATAAATTACTTCTATTTTGATCTTTTATTTATAATTTCTGTCTTTTTTTCAAATTATATTTCTTTCCAGGTTACGTGAGGGATGCCACAGACAGTTTCACGATGTGTATTTTAGTCCAGAATGCGTTGATTATGTCTTGTGTTGTAGTATGGGCTATAGAGTACGCATTAATATTCACACGTCGCCGTAAAGTCGTGCAGATATAACTTAGTAATCTATTTATGTTACTTAAATATTTATATGCCTAGCAGTTTAGGTTATACAATGGAAAATAGTAAGTAGATGGAATATACTTAAACTATCCAGTCTTAAAATCTATCATGACGTATTAACCATGACGAGATCTTGTTACTGTACACGACAAATGGAAAATTAATATTATTATTATAAAATATACAAGGCAAAATTGAAATCGTAAGCTACTGTTTAAAATAGTGTTATACCATTGAAACGGAACATTTTCGCCAAAGAAACATGGCGAAACATGAAACATTTCTTCTATTCTCTATTATTTTTACGTTTTTTTCATTCTTTTGTGATGTAAAGATAAACTTATTATGTGATAAAATGGCTAGTGTTACTCAATGTCGAATGTTTTGTCTTTACAAATTTTTTTAATATTCGTAATATTTGTCGTATAGTAACGAGATTGCATATGATTAGTTACAGATTTCATTATGAAACTGTTGTATTTGGAACGAAATTTTATACAGTGACATTATACCTCGTCTATATTTTTACATGATTACGTACTTTAATATTAAGCTATAAGCGAAATAATCCCTAATGTAACCGAATTATTTTATATATTATTGTTTCATTATATTTATTGCGGTGCATCAGATTATTTTATTATATTTCGTAACAAAAAGATGATTTAATAACTTTGAAATTAATATTGAAGATAGTGAATTTATGTGTGTCTCTTATTATATATTTAATATCCAGTGAACGATTAAGGATGAATATTCAAATTATACGCTACAGATACATTCTAAATGTAACTTTTGGACACATTAATTTTAACAGTAATATTTTTAGATGGCTGTTTGTAGTTTTGAAACTTTTTATGTAGTTTGTAATTATGTAGTAAGTTAATAGGTGATCTATGATGGTGAACATTCTTAAAATTATATACTAAAACACTATCAGTGGTATATTATACTATCCAATATATAGATTTGTATTTAAACAATTTTATCACTTTATTTAACTAATAAGGCACTTTTAATAACAGAAAAATATTTTGTACTTATAGTTTATGGAGAAACGATTGAAATCACTTATTGTCTCCAATTTGTACTTATATATTTAATTTATATATTCTATATGTTTGATAGTGTAATGAGACTCTTAAAGAAAATATTGAATAATTGGCTATAATATGAAAATTTATAGCTAGTCTAATAATAGTCAGGGCCTGTTTTAAGATTATTGTTTATGAATTTCAAAGGTATAGTCTTATGTTAAAATGTCTGTTTAAAGTAGAATTTCTTTAAGTAGACAAAACTAACGAAATCATATAACCATACCATAAATCTACAAAATCAAATCAGTAGATATCTTACATTAAAAAGAGAACATGGTGTATAAAAAAGTCTCAAAATGTAAACAAAATTGGTGAACATTCCATTCACATTGTATTAAGTACAGTGCTCTCTAATTAATGCCGAAATTTCTTGTCTACTTTTTTTTGTAATACGATGGGTCAGTCTGGTGTAGAATATTTAAATATAATTTTCTAAAACTGTTTAAAAGAATGACTTGCTACTGTTTTTAATACCAGTGGCAGGATGTTGCGCGTTAACAATATTGTAATTTAAAATGACTAAACGCAGAAGATGGATTTGTCATTTTAAATTCCAAGATTGTTAATACACAAAATTTGTGACGTTATCAGTAAAAGTTAGCTTTTTTTATCAATTCTATTCAAAGCTATTTCCTGAACTACACATTTATCTAAGTGCGTAAGAAACAAATATACCTTACTTGTTTGGTATATCATATATATATATACACCATGTCCCTTGTATATATATCGGTGAAGACAATCAAAATGACAAAATAGGTCCTTGAATTTTTATTATACTGCCATTGTTATTTCAAAGATTATTCAGTCGCCTCTGTAAGAATTGTACTCTTAATACCTTACTAATAAATCTCCATAATTTCTTTTGTTACTTGGCATATTTAGTTAATTATATATGTATGTCCTTATCGAAATTAGTACGTTATTTAACACTAAGACACTAAAACGACAATATATAATCAATTTAAATAATAAAAAACTTGTCATTCCATTTACGTATTTCTTCTTTTTAAACATATTAATTTCGATAATAAAACATTCCAAGATTTGTTTACTAAATATGCAAAGTAAGAAAAACCAAGTACTTATATTAGTTCTTGTAACTAAATCGAATATATTTGCGTCCTTTCAGTCAATTCCATACTATTTGAAAGTGACAGTGTCATCTGTGTATAACATATTGTTTTTATTAGTAAGGGGTTTGTCTGCGAGTGTAAGTTTATCAGTACAAGTATTAGAAAATTGTAATAGGAAATATGGATAATTACTAATAAGTTTGTTGGGTTATTATTTAACATTTGTACGGTAATATTACTAACTGAACTAATGCATTACTAATAATAGTTTGGTAATTTAGTTGACTGACTGTCTAGCGAATAAAATGTACTATCTGTCACAAAGAAATATATTTAGGATTAATAATTTGGCGCTGACAACTCAAAGATTTCTATGCATTTACTATATTCATAGTATATATTATAACAACAGAAAACAAACTAATAATAGGATTCTCAATTGTTTATTATATACTTAACGTTTTTAAAACCATATTATAGGAATTTTAGTAAGCTATATATACCTTACGCATGTAAGGTAGACATAGACAACAAAAGCACCTTAGTCTAATATTTTAAAGAATTATATTGGAAAAAAAACATTTTTAACTACTTCTAAAATAGACGTTTTAATTTTTCTATGAATAAGAGCAATAAACTGTGAATTATAGATATCCATGCAACTTAGAAAGTAGCATATTTCCTATCACAATTTATATTTACATATTTTTACATAACCAACTTATCAGCAGTGTTTGTATATTTTCGTCTTCCAATAATATCCTTGTAGGCTCTCTTAGTCAATCAATATTGCAGTGTGCGCTTCAATGTGTGATTTTTATGACCAAATATATCGAGTACTTACTAACATTTTATAAATATGTACATTTATCCTTGTAAGTGTACAGTACTTGTGTGACGTGACGTATAAAGGCAACTCCTATATATAGGGTGCCGTTTCAAAATGTATGTTGTATTTTTGTACTTATTTAAATATATGTGTCTTTATTAAATCAATTTACGAAAAGTATGTGCCAATTGTACATAAGTCGATATTTATATATCTTCCATTTGAAATCGTAGCCGTGTAATATATATATGTATTAATATACCATATAAAGTAGACTTCCAATATTTTAAACATAGAAAATTATTTTTGTTTAATTTTTAAATAATGTATATTATATTTTGGAATTATGGGGTGCAAGTGTTGATACAATCATTTATCGCCTTATTTTTGTGTATATATATGCCTCTATGTAAACTATAGTGTATGTAAATGACAGTACCGCGTCGCTTTATCTGTGGCGTCAGAATTTTCAGTACCGTTTCTAATGGCAGTGATATTTTTTTAATCTTGTTTTAATCCATACGTAGATTTAACAAGGCGCTATTACGTAGAGTGAGAGAACTAGTTTATTTTTTATTTTGTTCATTTAATTTCGAGACTTAACTAGATTTCAATATTTCAATTAAATACATACCTGATTTTATTGACTACGTTTGGACATGGAAATGTTATTAAAATTGAAAAGTAAATTTATTAAATAAATCATTATTTAAATGTTGGCTTTATCCACTTAAATATAAAGTTGAATTTTCCGTGGCGTAAACATCACTCAGTATGCCTTACGACTTTTATTTATTAGCTTCTACGTCGTTTTGTCGACTCTAACATATTTTTTTTTCTAATTCAACACATATACGAAGTGACGCGGGACTGTTAATTTATGTGTATATTATATATACAATAAATTTATTAATATAATATATAGAAGAAATTGTAAAGTGGAACGTATTTGTAAAGAGGCTTGGTGCTCCCTTTATTCTTGAGATAGTATTTTTTAACATCAAAACACGTGAAGAGTCTTGTTAGTTTAAAAAAAAAATTATGTATGGTTTTCATGATAAAAATGTATGTGAGCTTTAATATGCGAAGCGTAATTTGTTATGTGATATAAATATATTAGGTGAACAATTAAATAATGTTTGTTTTTGACATGAGTTTGATCAGCTTGTATATTGAATTTATCATATATTAATTTGGGTATATATTTTTTTATATTAAATATTTATATTTGTAAATGTTTTTATAACTTGTGGAACGAGTTGTCGGTATCATAATACAATGCACCCATGACATCTGGTTTGAGTTCGTAATAATATGCCGTATATAACAGAATACATTCTTTTGTACGCTTTGTGTTTATGAGTCAATCAAATAGAGCTATAGCTCGTACTAGCACTTTGCGATACATGATGAAGTTTGATTAAAACACCTAAAATATATTACAATAACAGTTTATAGTTTGTATGATCTAGGGATGGGGAATATATAGCAATATCTATATCGTCATAGTCGTAGAATACTGACGGATATATATATGTAATCTTTGTCAGATCCGTCAGTATTCTACGACTATGATGATATATTGCAAATATAATATCTATATATTTGCCTCGTAACGGATATATTAAATATTGATTATCCAATTTATAATATCGACATGAAGAACTCGATCGTAATGACTATAGATATCCGACTAATACTGGCGATATCAAAATGGGTGATGACCTTTTTATCTGTCATCAATGTCCAGAGAAACACATTATGTAGATATCGTGGTGTTACCGATTTTACCCATACCTAGTATGAACTATATGGATGGGAGTGTAACACAGGTTTATATAAACAGGGTTTCAGATAAACTCTTAAATTCTCTCAAACAGAGACTAAGGTCTTAAAAACATGAAAGCTTTATTACCTTTACATACTTAAATTATTTAAACAAGTAATTGCCACTTCAAATTACTAATTGTTAAGTCATCGCTTAATGGAATTACAGTGATTTATTTTATAACTTTATAATATTCGTATCATAGGTTACGATAGAAATCATAAGTTACGATAGAAATCATTGCCAATTTTTAAAAGCCGTGTTCTATCAGTGAAACTGGTGAAATTGAATATTTGTTCCAAAGAAAATATTAACATTAACATACATTAATAGCTGTTAGTATGGAGGGCGTAAATGTTTTAGACCTACATATATTTCTTTATAAAGCTTTACTGTCATTCCTAAGATTTCATTCTATAAATACTAATGGTATGTGATTAAAAATTATCAAAGTGATTGTTAACAGTAGGTATGATTTTCCGACAATGAACTAATCATAAAACATATCTCTAGCACAATACCTCACATTCATACTAAATTTGGAGACATAGTTAAACTTCGTTGGAATTTTAAAACGGTTTTCATGCTTTTGTAGAAAGGGATGAAAATTTAAGCCCAACAGGGCTTGAATACATTGAAAAAATTAACTCTGGAACACCAGAATTAATTTTTTCAATGTAATATTTTATTAAAGAGATTGCAGGATGAACGTTATTTAGAATTTGAATTAATTACCTGAACATACAGTATGTTCAAAGTTTTATGTCGGTTATAAAGTGGCAGATTATTGATTAGGTATTTTATGTTTGTAATAGCAATAAATTACTATTTGCCTTGTGTATAACGAATCATAAGAAAAGTATTTTTCTATCTATGGTATATTTGGATGGAAAAATTATGTTGTTATTGATGTTTTGTTGTAATGTCTACAATTTAACAAGTGACAGGTACGATCATATCTAAGAACATACAAAAATTTGTACGACCTTGTTTTATAAGAGTCCGAAGTTTCTCGTAGTGAGGAATCGTTAGAATTATCAGACTTTGATGTCGCAAATCCTTAGCATCTGTTCACACAGAGAGGCGTATTATAGGCTCGGATTCGATTGGTGGCGATCAAGACGTTTCAGTTACGTAAGAGTACGGTTAAAGCGAATGCACATAATGTAAAATAATAAAGCATTCTGACTTACAACTTGTTTCGAGCTATTTGCCCTTTTTTATCTTATTTGGTTTTCACTCATATTTTAAAACAAGTAATATAAATTTTTCGTCATTCATATTTATATTTCGATACGTAATAAATTCTTTTTTTATATTCTACTGTGTTCGGCACACGTGGACGTAAACGGTGACGGTCGACTCTTTGTTTATAACAAAAGAAGTGTAAAAAGAAAATATCAGTGATTTAAAACTATTAAACGCGATCAAGATCTGCTGTCCTCTCTGAGCCGGTCTGTGTGAATGAATGTTTATAGTGTGATTTTTTTTAAATTCAGAATTTTTGTTGTTTGTTATGTTTTGTTACCTTTGTTCCAAGTAATAACAAATGTTGAATACGATATAGTGCAAGATTTTATTTGATAATAAAATGTAGCCAGATTTGGATAATTATCTTAAGTATGTATGGTATGCAAAGCATATTGAGCGTGAATGAAAAAGACAATTGAATAAATTAATAACCGGTTACCTAAATTGTAGTTTTATTTCATTACCTTTTAAATATTAGTGTAATTTTTAGTTATAAACGGCGTAATAAAGTTTTTTTTAAGGATTGGCAACGCGCGCGTGATTTTCTGGATGTCACGGGCGTCCATAAGCTTCGGAAACCTCGTTTACCATCAGACGGGCCGTGTGCTTATATTTATATATATATTAAAACATTACAATTAAATTAGTGTTATATATATATATATATATATATATATATATATATATATATATATATATATATATATATATATATATATATATATATATATATATATATATATATATATAAAACATTACAATTAAATTAGTGTTTCTATATATATACGTATATATATAGAAACACTAATTCAATTTTAATGATGAAGAAGTCAGATCGAGTCCACAGGGGATTAACTTCGTTTTATTGGGTTTCACGTTCACGCTTGACGGATCGTCTCATTTTAGGTAACTTGATCCCTCAAACGCTTAAGTAGTTTCATTATTATGTTGACCTTAGTGGTGTAGCAGTTCAACACAGTAGCTCATCTTTCGGCGGTCGTGGCTTCAATTCCCGCACAATACAAATATTTGTATATATGAGTATGATTGGTTTGGATCATTTATATTTATAAAAAAAAAGTATTCAAGTATGTTTATGAATACATATGTTCTCTTATAGCCATAGTATTTTTTTTAATGGATGATAATGGAATGGTAACCCTACCCGCGCTATCGGTATACACAGGCGGGGCACCAGTGAAGGATGATAGATGAGGATGAAGTAGGTCAGTTAGCCCATCGTGACGAATTCAACAAGAATTGTTCACGGTGGTTTTCAGGGGGAACCACGTGGAGGTCGACCTAATAAGGCATATTGCTAGCAATGGGGCTATCAAACTCCATTGCTAACAATCCCTTTCCCCTCTGTACCCATACTATAAGATTCACTTAGTTTGGGATTAATTGGCGATGTGTAATGTGTCTTAAAGTGTTTATTTATTTAATATTACAGTAGAAAATAACAGTATAGCTTAATTTAACCTATTGTATATTCTTATCCGTACCGTTCAGAGATGTTGCCCAGGGACGTAAAAAAATTTTTCGTATATATCTATGATGAAAACTGTCTATCTCTTCGAACCGATTTTTATATATAAAAAAAAAAAAAACATTCCGTTGTGCAAAATCAGGACTGGAATCCAAAATTTTAAACAAAACACGTTTATATTTCACAAAGTCATTACTATTTACAATTTAAGATATATATCTAGCTTAGATTTTAGGTACCCAGGTACTGCTATTACAGAAACCTAGTTTCTGTAAAATATTTAAGAAAGTGCAAAATTAGTTTGCATTAACAGTAATGAGGCTTTATAGTGTTTATCTATAAGTCTTACATCGTAGATAAATAATTCCTGCAATGTTGAAGGGTCAATGATATTTTATAATCAATTTATAATGTAGGTGCTGTTCCATTTACATTTATAATTAATTTTCATATCGCTTTATTGTTACCAGTATAGATATTGATTTCTTACGATTTATTGCTTGAACTTGGGTTGGAAGATGAATTTCACGGTTATATTAGACATTGCGTACTGTCTTACTACAAAAAATATTGAAAACACTGTTTATTTAAATAGTGTTTAACAAAACTTTATCCAAATGATTAAATATTGTTTAGTTGTAGAATAATGTTTATCCTTAATTTTTGTGCCCAAATCTATACATTGTTATAATAAATTGTTATAGTGAACGTAATGTGGATTGTAGCTGTCTAAATAAATGAAATTTATTACGTTAAACATCTTTTATTTTTAACGTAATAAACATTCTTTTGTTAAGACAAGCAAATATTAGACACGTTTTTGTAGTTAGATGTCTAAACATGTATTAAATACTTGATCATCGTAAGCGTATCTTATTTGCGGTGAGACGAGTGGCTGATACATATATTAGTTGTTTATAGGAAATGTTTATTTCGTAATAGATTGTTTAGAGTATTAGGCTGTTAGTGACTGAGGGATAAATAGCTTGTAGTAATAAATAGCTTGTGTTGTAGTAGTTTTGTAATTAAATAATATTCCTAATAATCATATCAGCATCAACTACTGATAATTTTTTTAATTTATCAATTTTTTTTATACCGTAAAGTTGGTAACAAACATACAGCCCGTCTGATGGTAAACGGTTACTATAGCCTATGGACTCCTGCAACACTAGGGATGTCACATGTGCGTTGTTGACCCTAAAGAAACTTAAATATAACCTATAGGTACTGTAGTTTCTAGGGAAAATCTCGGCAGGGAGCTTATTCCATAGCCTCGGTGTTCGCGGGAGAAAATTTCTGACACCGCACAATAAGGATACATACTATATTATATATTAGTACTAATTATGTAGGTGGGCATCATTTCAAAAGAATTCCTCACAATATTATCTGTTACATAAGCGGTAGAACACACAAAGGGAGGCAAATTCTTGCCTAAGCGCTCGATATCGCCTGTAAGTTTGGGATAGTCGACTATTCTCATAACTTGTCTTTGAACCGAGTCTAAAAGACCAAACTGGTACCCAGGAGCTCCGGTCCACAGGTGAGAGCAATTGTGGAGCCATAAAAAATGTTTTTTTTTAACATACATATATATAATTATATTTTATAACTGTTACGGCGAGTGTACGGCTGATTATCTAGTTCCTCGACTTATTAGCGAACTACCCACCGATGTACAGGGAATCAAGTGTAAATAAAAAAAAAACTTCTTGGATAATATGAATACATGTTGAAATAGTCTTAATGTATTTAGCAATAATATAAACCTACGTGGTTTCCCAATACTAATAGAATATGTTTTGTGTAATTTTGAATTTTGTTTTTGCGTTTAATAGACATTATCAATAAAATTATTTATTATTAAATAATTTATTAATACTACGTTATTTAGGTACTTTAGGGTACAGATGACATCTTATTAATAGTATAAATGCGAAAGTTTGTAAGGACGGATGGTTGGATAGATGTTTACTACTCTTTCACGCAAAAACTACTGAACAGATTTGAATGAAATTTGAAACACGTATGGGTTATATTCTAATAAGTAAACTACTTTATTTATTGATTCATGCGGCCGCAGTTTGCAAGATACAGTTAATATATAATAGTATTGCTATATTCGTACTTATGATAATAATAAAACATTGGAAATATGAGAACCACGACCATAACTTTCCAACTTTCGACGACTTCGTCTATTTCCATTTGTGTGAACCCTGCAATACCTAGCCTTATGGAAGCATGTCATATCGTCGAGTTTAATTAACACACTACAATGACTTTGACTATCTAGTGCGGACGTGTGTGCCCTCCTTTATATTTTAATCGTGTTACAATACGCAAACAATACTTACAATACGCAGACACATAAATCTATTTTGTTTATTTTTTTTCATTAATGAAATATAATAATATAAAAATGTAGAAATAGCTATTAATATTTATAAATATTTCTAAAATAAATTCTTTATAAGGTATTTTATTTCTATAATAAATATTTATAGTTAATAATTACCCAGTGTTTCGACATAAATAATAATAAATAAAAGGTTAATACTTTTTTTTTTTAAATACATACAATGGATGAGGCGTTTGCACATGTCCAAGGAAAAGGTGGAAAATATGACAAGAAAGGAATGGTCCCCCCTGACGGAGGCTGGGGCTATGTTATTGGTATTGGTGTAGGATTGACATTTGTAAGTACCTACCTACCTTAGATTATATAGACAGAGCATGGAGTCTCAAAAACGGGTCAACGTTTTGTCAGCTAATTGTCAAATTAGCTGACTAGTTTTTTATCAGTGTTAATTATTTAATTAATAAAATGAGTTTTCACACATTAAAAAGATGCAAAAATTATAACACAAAATAAATATAGAAGTTATAAAGGAAACACTTGTAACTATTTATCACGTAAAATTGTATTAAAAGTTGACCCGCTTTTCTCGAAACATTTGTGTTCATTTGTGTTGAGTGTGTGGAGACACTCTATCTATGCAATCTAAGCTACCTACCTATATATGTATAATTTATTCCAATACGAGTATGTAACACACTGTTTTTATATATTATTTGCGTAAATAATACAAACAGTAGGTATACCATAAAAATGGTGAATTATAAATATAAGTATTTTAAAGTGTAATATAATAGATATATTCGTATTTGATTATTTGATTTCTTTCTTTGTAATTTACGTTAGTATATAGAGTTTGAAATTATTAAAATTGAGTAAATGATCCTTCTTTTCTACAAATATTACATAAAAATAATAACATATTACATATTGACACAATTACAATTGATATACAATATAAACAAATTGAGTTTGTTAGTTTGTTATCTTTTGGTACTTATTATAAGTATATGTACCTACTATCTGTCCAAGTCATAAAATAGTAATTATTTTTTCAGATGCTGGGTTTTGGTTCGTCCAATGCTTTTGGAATCCTGTTCAATAATTTCTTTCTAGAACAGGATGGCGCTGGTGGACTCCCACTTGTTATAGGGGTATATAATGGAGCGCTTTCTATTACAGGTAATTAATATTTTCATATATATTATTATTATGTCAAAGGGACCTCCGACAGCAAATATATGAATGAATATACCATTATTTATAGAACATATACTTATTTATTCGCTATCATATTATGTCGCGACCAGTTAGACGTGACGCTTTAAATGTGTTACTTGTCGTTTTTGATCCTACTTTTTTCTTTTCTCCGGAAAAAAAAAATTGTTCCAAGAACTAAAGGGAGGCTTTGTACAAAAGTCGTTTGCTTGGGCACCTTTATTCACACAATACCACTATTACTCACACAATAGTGTGAATAATATAATAGTTCGCTAGCTAAGAACTTTTTAAATAATTAGAAATATTAGAAACTGTTCAATTATTTTTGAAAATTGACAAATAATTCCGATGTTGCCACATTTTAGTAAGTTTCAGTTGGTTTCAGTATAGTTCATACTTATGTAACTTACGTTTTAACAAATGAGGAAATTTTTAGTACAAATCCAAAATGTAGTCTATCTAGGACTCACAAATATATAAGTATGATACTTTTATCATGCAGACAAAGCTACTTATTACATGTAATAATTTATATTAGCTTATATGATTTTTAAAGATCCAATACCAATTAGTAATAGATTTTTGTGCAACACGCCGGTTGTTCAAATCGAACCGAACAACCAGTGCATTTTATTTGATAATTCCTAATTTTTAAGTTCAGTGCCACATTCAGCCTATCTTCGGCTCCCGAAGACGGTAACCCGAATGTGCCATTTGGCTTAAAGCATCTCTGCTTGCCAAAATTAAGCCTAGGCTTGATGCATATATTGTTGTACTATGCAAATCACTAGTTATGGTACTACTATCTATAAATTTTCCAATGAATATAAATAGGGTATAAATTAATTGACATCAATCGTCTGCAAGATGATGTACTTACATTAATTTATGCATTTAAGTTTGTTACAGCACTAGTTGTGAGGGGTAACGATAGGCATGTTTTTATATTTTTTATAATTTGCAAATTTTCCAAAAAAAAAAGTATATATTAAATTAACAAAGTGAAGTGATACATAAGGCAGTTTTATCTCAACGCAATCTCTTTTAGACAACCTGTTTTGTATATTATTATTTTCATATATATCCTAATCCAGAATATTCTAGTTTTGTCCATTATATCTGTAGGTGATGGTAAAATTCGTCGCAATTAAAATCTTGAAGATGTTTGTAGTGATTATAATTTATAACTAACTAAGAACCAACATAAAATCAAGCAGTGAGTCTAGATATAAAAACAAATATAATATAACGTGTATGAGATAATAGACTAAATAATTTAAATAAATGAATTTACTATATATTATTTCTATTTTGATAATTACGAGAAAATTAAAATATTTTTAATAGTGTAAAATATTTTTAATAATGTAATCGTGTAAGGGATCTTTCTCATGGAATAAACAAAGCTACACCATAACTAAAACCATTTAGATTATTTAAATGTTTTTAGTTTTGGTGGTATGATTAATCTTCGATTGTATTAAGACATAATATATTGCTTTCTTATTTACACGTTTTTTAAACTTCTAGAAAGCAATCTATTTTTTGCTTCTAGCAAGAAATAAATTCTAAAACGTCGGAGTTTGGTTTCATTGTTTTTTTATTTATTTATTCTTTATTGTACACAAAAATTACAAAAATATATTTTTTTTTCTAACGTTCCTAGTTTAATTCATGAAAACACTCTAATATACATACTTATCGACTTTTTTTTTTTATACTACTTAATTTAGTTTCCAATTTAATTTTCTTTAATAGGCTCCGTTATCTTATCAACTATTTAATTCAATGTGTCTTTCTAAATGCGATAATATTTTTTCATACAAGTTACTGCTTAATTAATTACTTATCTATTAACGTAGACAGTTGAAATAATTAGGCACTATTTTTTTTTTTCATATAAATATATTCTTTGTCCAGAATACTGATAATACAAAAATCTTTACGAGTCTCAAGTTTATCAATTTCGCTATGGCAACTCTTGTGTTCTCTTATTATTTATCATATCATAATATCTAATAAGTAACATGTATTTAGTTCCCTTCCTTTCCCATGGATGTCGTAAGAGGCGATTAAAGGAACTTAATGGTCGAGGGATGTAACTAAAATGTCCAGACAGAAGGCGTGATGGGCTGGGTTATAGAGTTCCATGAAATATGATTGAACGCTTTGATGGCTGGCTCATGCATCATACTCCTGAATGGGTGATGCCTGTAGGGATCGGTCTGCTCTGAGTGTAGTAATTAATTTAAATTATAAATTTATTCAAATGCATTATTAATTATTCATTTTTACGATCTGGTAACAGTTGTAGTGTTTGTATACAAAACTTTAATTTATAGATTTCAAGTTTTTAAAAAAAGCAACAACTGAGTTCTTTGCCCGTTCTTCTTAGCTGAAATTGCTCTTCGAATAGGCTGTAGAATCATAAATATGACTTCTCAAAATTGCTTCAATTTAAGTTGATTTTAATAAAAAAAATTTTCTATTATATTATTTTTAATTTGTCTTATTTAGATTGCAACTATTAATCGGTAGAATGACGCAAAGTCATAGCATAATCGATTGGTACATTGTTATTCTCAATTAGCGTTCAATCCGTCTATTAGTTTTAGCTCAAATAACGTATGGTCGAATTACTGCCCCTAATTTGGTAGACGTTGAACTACTTTCGTATTTAGGTACACATTGGTAAACCGAGGTCGCCTGATTGAGCAAAGGGACCGAGATGAACATTCAGAATCGGTCTTTGTGATGTTGATGTTAATGATAATTGTTTATTATTTTTTTAAATAATGTGTTAGTGATAATTCCTTTTTCTATTTGGTAATAAAGTAACTTTGAGAAAATATTTTATTCTTTTTGAGGTAACTATAAATAAAGTCAAATATTAATTTAAATGTTATGTATTTGTACAACTTTTCGTTACCTATTAGTTCTATTTCAGTGGATAGCTAAAATACTGTGTAATATGAGCATGTTACCATATGAAGAAATGTGGAAACAATACATTGATTTCCGTTAACATTATGTAACGGATATTATTTAGTTAACCATAAGTTGTACTCACATTTTCTATATAAACCTATTGTGAGTTAAAGAAATTAAATAATTCTTAAATCTATATGTCTCATCATCATCATTTCAGCCATTATCTGTCAACTGCTGGACATAGGTCTCTCCCATAGACTGGCCATATGGAATGGTCCTGAGACACCTGCATTCACTGACTCCCTATAATGCATTTGAGGACGTCATTTCAACCTAAATGTCTGCTTTTTAAAAATTTCATATTTAATGTGAAATTCAATGATATTTACATTTTATTTTTAAAACTTACGTTTTGAAAATTTAATTATCGAAATCGGCATTAGTCTATTTTTAATTAACATCGCTATAGATATAGATAGATATTTTGTTATAATAAGAGGTGATTCAATTAATATTGCCCATAATATATTTCAAAATATATTTTTTAAATGTTGTCTTTAATTTTACGTGTTTTATTATTTTTAAGGTTTCCTAAGTGGGATTGCTTTGAAGAAGTATTCATTTAGACAAGTGGGCCTTGTAGGCGCTGGATTATTTATTCTCGGAGATGTATTAACTATATTTGTACAACGAACATATCAATTGGTGTTTACTTTTGGCGTAATTAGAGGTAAATATATGTAAGTAAAATAATCATAGTAAATAGGTACATATTTAATAAAAAAATATATAAATAAAAAATATAAAAAAAAGGATAAATCCATCATCAAAGTATCTAAGAGTATTTTTTATTTTTTATATTATTCATATTATGATATAATTTGGTCTACCGTTTATCTTAGTGCGAGTTTGATAAACTCTATCGTTCAGAATTTTCACTAAAAGATATTAATGGCGACTGGCCACCGTATTGTATTAAGAGGATTTTTTTAAAATAAAGCGGTATTTTGTATGATTTATAAAGTCATTAGTCCTTCGAAGTGGTAATGCATGAGATGTGCGACAGGCGTATCAGAACGTTCTATGATGTTAATTGTGCTACTGAATATATCGTCGACTATCACTTACTATTACTTAGATCATCAAATTGTTTGCCATAGCAATTAATTAATTAAAAAGAGTAATTATTTTTGTTTAGGAGCTGGTTTCGGTGTGATGATCCCAGTTAGTTTTACAGCTTTTAACTGTTATTTTACGAAAAAGAGAACTACAATGATGAGTGCAAATCAAACTTTGAGCAGTATGGCATCCATTACATTTCCCATGTTGGTGACTTTTCTTCTGTCTGAATATGGATTCAGGTGGACCTTAGCTTTAATTATGGCTATTGATCTTCATCTACTATTTGCAATGTTAATTATGCATCCAGTTGAATGGCATTTAATAGAATGTACAGAAAAAGGCAAGGAAATAGGTAAACATTGCACCTATTTTATTAATGTTCCAATTTGCATGTTTTGCTTTTGTTTGTCGCTACTACATTATACAGGGTGTATGAGACAGGTCGGCAAAAACAGAAACAGTGAAAACTAGAGAAAATGTGAATCAGTTGTTTTCATTTTGGCCAACCTGTCCCTTTTGAGTTTTATAAATATTTCTGTAAATAATTTAAGAAATTAAAGATTTAATGTTGTTGTGTAATGTCTAATTTATTTTTGTATTTTATATTAAATTGTCATAACGTTATTGTTCACTCGATGTGATTGTTAACAACTCAAATTAATAATAAAAACTAATTACCCATTGTCACTGTCATTCTAACATTTTGGGTATATGTATCGTTTTCAGAATTATTAAAATGTGATGTTTTAAATGCTAAACAGTCAAATTTCGTAAATAATGATGAATCAATTGTAAAAATGTTATCAGGTAATGTTAATGATGTCGATTCGGTAGAAGAAGAGACTAAAGATAGGCATGAATCTATCCAAAAAAGTATAATGTAAGTATATATTCTATGTTGTTTTGATATGTATTTATATGTTTATGTTCTATCATGTACATAATTGTTTCAGAAAAGTTATATATGATAATGTGGAACTCGATTTATTGAAAGATCCAAGATTCGTGAGCACTTTGATTGGCATTGGATTTGCTTTTGTATCAGATGTTACGTATTTGGCCATGGAACCTATGCTTTTGTTTTCTTATGGTTTTTCTCAGGTAGTTGATTTGTTTAATATTTCATTGTGATTTTTATAAATAAATGTATATAAATTTGTTTCATTAATTCTGTTTGTATATTTATGCTTAAAGATGGAAGTAGCAACTTGTGTCATGGTTGGAGCTATAGCAGATTTACTGGCAAGATTTCTTCTGGCTCTGTTTACTTATTTCTACGTAGTTGATAGTCGAAAGCTCTTTTTTAGTGGAACATGTATTTCAGTATTTTTGCGAGTTGGTATGTATGAATGCTTAATTTTTTTATCTTTTATAGTTTTCAATTTGAATTAATTAGGGTCCTATTTTACCTGACCACTAGATAAATTGAGCTCTCACATATCAAATCAATAAATTGATAATTATTACAACAATATACAGGCTACCTGATGTTATTTGTTTATTATATAATTAATTATTTGTTAAATTTATTTAATTTGAACAGCATTAATAAAATTACATAAAATCAAGGCTTTCCTAATAAAATACTAAATTATTTATTAAATTATTACTTTGTTTCTTTCAGCATTAGTTAGTTCTAGTAATGTTTGGTATATTTTCATACTGACAGCTATATCGGGACTAGTCAGATGCACAGTTCAGGTGTTGTTCCCATTGGTATTAATAGCTGCTGCTCCAGATAGATTCCCAGCTGCTTTGGCGCTACATATTTTGTTTTCTGGTATATTGATACTTCTAGCAGATCCAATAATAGGTTAGTAATTTAATAACTTACTCGTTCCACTTTTACAGTTTGGACTACTATATTTTGATAATCTCTATAGTGTAGCGGTTAACCATTTCTGCAGGTTGTGGATTCGATCCTTGCACAATAAAAGCATTATTCACGTGTTTAACTTACTGAATAAATTAATTTAAATTATATTTGATACAAAGACTATGTTCTAGAGTCCTATAGTCCTAGTAAATCATATTAGTATCTGATTATCTTTACTAATATTATAAATATAAAAGTCAGTTTGTCTGTTTCCTCGAACATTTTAATGATTCATGAAATTTACCATATACGTTTTGTAATTGGGAGGAATGTTATTGTTTGACCTGGACAATCAAGATATCTCGGTTACGCAAATGGATACATGGATAAAAATTTGTAATTTTTTTCAACTACTTTCAGGGGTGATATATGAAGCAACGGGCAGTTACGTCTACTGTTTTTTGGGAATGAGTACGTGTTGTTTAGTGTGCGTAGTACTTTGGACTACTGAATATTTTATTTATCGTAAAACTAAATGATTAATTTATATATAAGTATAATAAATATGAAATTTGTAACGAAATTTGTGTCTCTAAATAAAAGTTTAGAAGGTTGTTACCCGATCAAGTTTTGAATAAATTTGATTCACAAATAGGTCATCTATATCATATTGTTCCTAATTACAGGGAACTTAACTGCGAGATACATATAGTTAAAAATAATTTATTTTGTTAATATGCAAACGGTATAATCTGTATCAGTTGAGTATAAACTCATAATAATATAAGAGCAATGACATTTGTTATCGTTGTAACGAAATATGTACCAATAAATATTTCTCAGGATAATTAAAATTATTATCTTTTGTGAACAATATGATATTACACATTTGAATAGATTATCTATTAGCTGGTTTTATGTTAAGAATTTTGTGTCACTGGTAATTATTTATACAATTTATGTACAGACACTTGCGGACAACTTGCTTCCTAGATACGAGACTGAATACTAATTCATAACTTTTTTTTATGTGAATATAGAATCAGAAAGTTTTTTGTTATTTTTTCCAATCACAGAATGAAAGGAGGGTGACGTATTAAGTATAAATGCCGAATGTGTAATGTATATTTTGTTTGTCTACACAATTTGATTGATTTTTATAAATAATGTGTTGTCTCGATTGTGGAATGCTATTAATTATGACTGTATAAAATCACATACTGATGATTTTGTTATATCTACGTATTTTTTTTATTTAAAATAATTATTTATTTGATTAAATGGTTTTGTTCTAAAAGCAAGTCGACTTCATTAAATTAATTAAAATAGTTTAAAAAAGAATCCTTTCAACATCATTAAATCAATCAAATTACTTAAGACTAGCGATTCGACGTGAATTTGTACGAGTACATAGACTTTTAGAGAATAATATATGAGTATAGGTTATGTTACTCGCTGATAATGTAGCTTTCTATAGGTGAAATAATTTTTAAAATCCATCAAATAGCTTTTGAGTTTATTCATTAGAAACAAACAAACAAACAATAAAATTTTCCTCTTTATAATATTAATATAGACATCAAGTGTTTAAAACAACAAATAAACTGCAACAAAAATTCTACCTTTCTAAAGTTGGCTAAATATGAGATGCGACTGCTAATAGACATAACTGGATACCATTTATTGCTTTCATGGGTAGGTATTATTGTATTATCAAACTAGGTAAAGGTTCAAGACAAGTTTCACACTATCACATTGTTGAGAGATTATTTAATCAAGTTCTCTTATTTGTAAATGAATCTTTAATGCATTGTTCTTAGCTTAACGCTTATTAAATTTATTTCAAATTTACGAGTGTAAATTAGGCTAATCAAATAAGTATAAAGTATTATTTTGTACGTTAAATTTAAATATTAATCGTATGTAGGTAAATATGTCAATATGTCTAATTTAATGTAAAATGGTTATCATTCGTTTAATTTTCTATTATAAGGAAAAAGTTACGTGTTTATGTTAAAATGGTTTTTCATCTTTTTTCTTCAATTTTTTTGACTTAAAATTGTTCATATAACTTCGATTTTCAGGTGAGTTTTTTTAATTGGTTAAGTTTTGTTTTAAGATTATAAATACAATAAAAAAATTTTTTTTTATAACATTAGAATGGCAAACAAGTCTATTTAAATCCACATGATTTGAAAAGTAAATAATACAATATTAGAATTAGGGTATTATGTTTATGACATAACAGTAGTTGGATTCATTTTTTTTTTACTCAAATTGAATAAAAAATAAGACTATCAATCAATAACAGCATCAATATTTTTTTTAATTGTAATTAAAAATTGATTAATTGATTTAATGTTACTAAATTCATTTAGAGTATTTTTGTGATGATTACAACAAAATTTGCTTATGTGCTTTTCATTAAGTTATGTTAAAACAGATTATAATTTCACTGTAATATGCCAGATAATAGAATAGAATAGAAATAATAATTATTGGCAATGATGATATTATGTTAATACAGTAAGGATTACTTCCTTGATTAAAAATGATTTCTTTTTTTTTTATTTCTAACATGTTTTATTGGAAACTTTTTATCTATTCTGTTCTTCTTATCTATTATAAAAATGAAATAGGTGTTTATGATTTGCTAGCGATCTATATATCGTCTGTATCTGTCAGTATTGATTGATAGTCGAAAATACACTTATTTATTTTCATATTTTTTTGACTAAAAATACAGTAATAATAATAAATTTACCAGTAATGACAAGCTTATCTATAAGAGATTTTTTTAACATTGGCATTAAGTATTGTTTTAAGATTATTAAATAACAAAAAAAAATTAAATTTATGAAAACATTATAATATATATAATTGGATTATTGTATTTACAATACATATATATCAAATAAAAAGCATACAACAATTTTAGGAAAAATAATATGAATAATACAATATTAAGAATTAGGTGTATTATGTTTATGCTTAATGGTAGTTGGATTCATTTTTTTTTACTCTAATTGAATAAAAAAAGAGATTAATCAATAATTCATTTGCATCAATAAACATTTTTATTGTAATTAAAAATTGATTAATTGATTGAATGTTACTTAATTCATTTAGAGTATTTTTGTGATGATTACAACAAAATTTGCTTATGTGCTTTTCATTAAGTTATGTTAAAACAGATTATAATTTCACTGTAATATGCCAGATAATAGAATAGAATAGAAATAATAATTATTGGCAATGATATTATTAATGTTAATACAGTAAGGATTTGCTTGATTAAAAATGATTTAGTTTTTTTTTTAAAAATTTCTAATGCGTGTTTTATTGGAATACCATTTTTATCTAATTATTCCATTACAATTAATAATTATAACAATAATTATGAATAATTAGGTAATTAATAATATTTTATTATTTAGGTTTAGATTTAAATTCTATTTATATATCCTGTATCTGTAGATGATTGATAATATTTAAATAAAATTCAACACAGCTATTTATTTATATATATTCTTTATTGCACTAAAACATACAGTAATAATAATAAATCTAGTATCATTTTGTAAGCAAAGATATCCTTATCTCTAATAAAAGAATTTTTTTTTCCAGTCAACCTAACAAAGTGGCATAGAAATCCAATTGAGAACTCTTCTTTTTAAAGTCGGTTGAAAACACGGACGATGCATTTGTCTCCCTTATTGAATATTTATATGAATAATTGTAATTTTTTTGTTTTAGTTCATCTATTTAGAAAATTTATTTGATAGGTTATAGTTTTACATTAAAAAAAGATTTATAATTAAGGAATAATTGTAATATTTATTTATTTATTTTTAATTGATCATATTACAAAAAAAAAAATAATATAAAAGGTAGATTTACTCGTAATGCTCCCAGTCAACCTTTGGAATAACGGAAATGTACGGTGAAAAATATTGAAAAAATGTTGTGAGTAAATAGTTATATTAATGTTATATATTTAAAAACTTTCTCCCTCAATGTACTTAATAATTTATATAATAGTAATAAAAAGTAAATATTCATACTTACTTAATTATATTAATTACTCGAATAAATTATAGTGCACTACTGGAGGTATCTTTTATTGTTTATAATCATTAACTATGGCTCTTTATTTAATTAATTTGTAATTTTCTCTCCTTGGTGTATATTTTTTACATTTAATTTTTTTTACATTTTGTACGATTATATTCTTTATATAGTTCTATTTTTTATTTATAAAGCAATCTATAATCGTCAAAATTCGACGCATGATTGGTACATTCAAATCGTGGTGTTCCGTTAATTTCTATATCAATAAGCAAATTAGTTGAATCAGATTCATATGAAGATAAATGATACTGGGTGCGATTTACTTATAATCGGCAGATTATGAGTAAAATTGTGGTAGTCGTAAACAGATTACAATGATGCTGCAATCGGTTCCACATCGGAAAACAATAATCATTAAAAAATTAGAAAAAAAAACTAAGCAGTAGATGGAATCCTTTTTCTAGGCTCTATCTTGATCATGAAGCCGTCTGTCCTTTTGAGTATGATATCGGCCTGCAGTATGAACTGTTCTTCGGATATATCAGACACCACTTTGTAGTTACGCAATATCGTCGACAATAGCACCTTAAGTTTTAATATAGCATATTTGCGACCTGAAATAATAATTAGCTATATCATACGTCTCATCATTTAATATATGAGAAATAATATATAATATAAAGTCAAATAATTTAGTAATCTCTTTCAAATAATTTAAAATGTAAATAAACAAAAATTGATCCAATCGATGTGCTACCCTTCTGCTAATATTCAACAGTAGTATAAATAAAAATAATGATTATATAATTGTTTAAGAACGTTATTGAATTTTAGTTAGGATTTTATATTAATTTCATTTTTTTTATACAACTTAAAATGGCAAACAGGCTGACGGCCCACCTGATGGAAAGTGGTAACCGTCGCCTATAGACATGAGCAGTGCCACGGATATCCCACCCTTCAAACCGAAACATAGCCATGCAAACACAACTGCTTTACGGTTGAAACACAAATGGGACAGTATTACGTCATACGTCATATTTTTATTTTTTTAAGATTTGAGAAAAACTAGTTTACTAGGTAATCATTTATGTTTAATAGTTATGAAAAGCTATTTTTTTATACTTATTATTAATATAAATTATACATACCAACACAGCTTCTGGGTCCCGCACTGAATGGAATAAAGCTATAATAATGTCTGTTCTGCGTATTTTCCGGTAAAAAGTTATCGGGATCAAATTTATCGGGGTTTTTGTAGTACTTAGGTGATCGGTGTATTTTGTACGTACCAATTACAACTGTTGAACCAGCCGGCAGTACATAATTGTTTGTAACTAGAAATAAAAGGAAGAGGATTATATCTAATAATACATCAATTTAAAATGCTAATAATTTTTCATGAAAAAAAAATCATCTATTTCCTCAATTAGATAGATAGACAGATAGATACAGTCTTTATTACCAACAATAACAATTAAAAAAACAACAATAAAAAAGAAAAAGAAAACTATTAAGTAATAGGAGCCGCCTCCGCTGTTGTTATATATGCACACTTCTGATTTTAAGGCCCCTTATCTCATTTAACTTTAGCATGCGTGCGAGTCGCTAATACCCATTTTTCGGATAGGAGACTCAATACACTGAACAAAAAAAAAAAAAAAAAAAACTATGGTCAAAACTAAAAAAAGAACAAACTCTGAATAAACTCTTCATTCTATAACATGTTATTTAATTTTATATCATCATCATATCAGCCTTTAACTGTCTACAGCTGAACATAAGCTCCCCACCTCTTGGGAGGTTTTCCCAGTATTTGCTACGCTTGGCAGGCGGAATGGCAACCGCAGTCAGGGTTTTAGACATGTTTTAAGAGGGACGATGCTACCCATCACTCGCCCTCCCTTAGTCGGTACTTTTGGTAGGAAGGGGTGGCCTATTTTTTACCGGGACTATACGGTCAATTGTATTTATTTATTGTATTGTATATCATAGAACATAGTAAATATTGCTATAGATAGATATAAAGAGTACAAGCAATAAGTAATAATTACGTATAATAAAGATTTTACATTGTATGTATTATAACAGCACTATGGATATCTCAGAATATACGCGAAGAATCACATGAATCTAAAAAATTCATGATATTCGCATAACGCATGAAGCGTTGTTTTTGAAAACTATAATCATGGCAGTGGCATAGAATAGGACACCCTTTCCTTTCCCGTGGGTGTCGTAAGATGCGACTAAGGAAGTGGGAGGGATGGGTAGAGGGGCACTGTCTATGCCTAAAACCTAAAACATTTCTAAAGCCTAACTGCGGTTGCCAATCCGCCTTCCACGCGTGGCAACTACTGGCAAAACCCCCTAAAAGAGAGGCTTATGTTCACCAGTGGACAGTTAAAGGCTGATATGATGAATTATTCTAAATAGTTTGTTCTGTGTTTACAATTTACAAGGTAACGATAATATAGAAAAAGTTATCAACTTACTTATTTTAACATCACGCTTCAGTTTTCTAGCAATCATAGGTACTGGCGGGTACAGCCTTAGAGATTCCAGAATGACTCTCTCAAGATATTTCATTTTAAGAGTATCACCAAAAGTGGTTGCTCGATCAGAGTCACCGAAAATTTCGTATAATTCATCATAAACTTTTTTCTGAACGTCTTGATAAATGCCGAGTAATGACAAAACGAAACTGGAGCCAGCTGCTGTTGTATCATGACCCTAATTGAAAAAAGACTTAACGAAAGTATTTTGTTGTATCGAAAATAAAAAATAATGGATTTATTTATGTTTTATCTCACCTCAAACATTATAGTGTCCACTTCATCCTTTATTTCATGATCTGTAATATTATTTGTACCATTTTGTGCTGACTCAATCATAAGATCCAAGAAGGCGAGACGTTTCTTTATACCTATGATAAAAAATAAGGTAAGATACATAATACCATAATTACTAATTAAGTTATAATAAGACCAAAATGGTAGGAATATTTGCTATACTGTCAATAGTTTTATTTACTTAATAAATCTATAGTACTTTTGACAATAAATTTTCGGTATCGTAAATTACTTAACGAACAAACATAAAAAAAAAATCAATTTCAACATACATCAATCAACATACAAAAAGTTCTCTCCTCTTTGTAATTTTTTTATTTATTTAATATTTAATGTAAAGTAAAATTCTATGTACATTTGGCGGACTTAACACTGGACGGTATTCTTCACCAGTCAACTATTGGGAAAACAGAGAAATAAATAGACGGTGCATTATTGAATTGAGGAAATATAAAGTAACACTTAATATATTATAAATATATAGTTAGATTCATATGAACATATATATAATATGATAAATAAATATATACATATATTGTATATTAGTATAGATCGGACTGTATTTTAGTGTGCAAGTTGAGTTTTTAATTTAATATAGAATGAATTATTTGGGACTCATTTGTTCCACTTACCAACGTCGTATTCGTCGTTGAAATCCAAATCGTCACGATAGCCTTTGAAAACATTATCGGAAATACTTTTTCCATCACTAGAGATATCGTTGTCACATGGCCTTGTTAATTCTTCTAATGTAGGTGGGACTATACCCTTTGTCTTATTATCTACATATACTTGTTTTTTTTCTTTAATCACCTATAAATTTGTTAATTAATTTGACAGTATCGTATAAATATTTTATACAGTAAGTGCAGGTTTACATTATTAGTTATGAGTGGTTAAACAAATCATTATAATTTGTTATTACATACCTTATTAGTAAGTCCATGAATAATACTAAGTAATTTAGTTTGTTGCTTGAAAAAAGAACTAAATTTGAATATAGAATCAAATCGCATCCACAATGTGTAATGCCTTTGATGAATGATATCACACATTCTGAAATATAATAATGACTATATTATATTTATTGAATCGTGACGTTTTCAAGAGAACAAAATGTTATATTTAACAAATTTACTTCATAACGGCCATAGCGTAGTCTAAACCAGATTGCTCTTGAGTATTTCTTGTCATCCCCATGGCAGTTTCTGAAAAATTACAATTTTGCGTAAGATAGTTTTTTTTCTATTCTAGATAAAATGTTTATTAAGATTTTGATTTTTATATATTAAAAAAGAAATAATTAGATAAAGATTACGATCTATTATCGATAAAGTATGTAATACCAAGTAAAATGTCCACAGTGACTCCACTCATATAGTTGTGCACATCAAATGTTTTACCAATTTCCGACCGCATTTTTTCGACAACATTTTTACTATTTTCATTAAATGTGCCTACAAATGATTTTAGAATATTGATATGAAAAGTTGGGGCAATCATTTTACGGTGTGATCTCCACTTTTCACCTGCAAAAAAATTTAATAGTTATTAGTAAGCAATAAATTTCATATATGCATTTTAAAATACTCTGTGGTTCCGGCATAGAATGGACCACTTCTTCTATTTCCGTGGTCCTCGTAAGAGGCCACTAAGGGACCTTAATGGTTAAAGAATGGATACTGGCATCTCTCTTAAAACATCATCAAAGCATAACTATGGTTGCTAACCTGCCTGCCAAGCGTGTTAACTACTGGTAAAACCTCCTTGTATGCCGGAGGCTTATGTATAGCAAAGAAAAGTTAACGGCTGATATGATAATGATGATTTTAAAATAGGTAGACTTACTTTTTTATTTTAATAAATTTAAACAGATTAATTTTTAGTTTTTTTAGGCTACTTCTAAAAGCTAAAAAGTCTAAAAGTGTGTGTTTTTTCTTCTGTATGTCTTATGTGTGTTTTTTGTGTGTGTGTGTTTCCTTGTGTGTGTGTGTGTGTGTGTGTGTGTGTGTGTGTGTGTGTGTGTGTGTGTGTGTTTGATATAAAATACAAAATATATTTGAACCTTTTGATGTGCTTCACAATTTTTGTTTCGTTACCAAAAACTTCTTGTTTACAGATGGCGTCTTTCTACTTTTAGAAACATTCAGTTTTTTTCAACTACTGACTAAGACTTTTGTAGACAGTTTGTCAAGTGAATTTCAATTACTAAATAAATGATGAAATAACACTCAAGATAAACCACGTAATAATAAAGCTATTATTAGGCACATACCTGAACTAATTAGCAGGCCCTCACCCAGCCATGGTTTAAAGAATCGATACTCTGCTGATTTGTCTATATGGACATGGCTATTGAGAATAACTTCCACATCATCAGGTTCACTGAGGAATATGATCAGTTTGGAACCGATCCAAATACGGCCAATGGATATATATTTCTTTGAAAGTTTCAGTGCAATTTGCATTATATCTTAAAATCGAGATATTACAAGTTATAACTATATTATGTAACTATATTAAATTTTAAACACTATAAGCAATTAAAATGTGTAGTGTGAACATCTCCTTACTCTCATTTTATTATTTATCACAAATTGTAATAAAATTGTAGTAATTTTTCTATTCAAAATAATTTTATTTATTCCATAGTATTTATTTAAATTCCACGCATATCAACTTCGGGTAGTGATGAAGAATATAATATGTCACTACTGCTTTCTATCCACAGCAATGCTATTCTGTAAAATTCCCTATTTCACTTCATAACACATTTAAATTTCACTTTCAATCCATCCGTTCTGTACAATTTCGTCATTGCCTATTACATACATACATACATACATATCTGTCACGCCTGTTTCCCATTAGGGTAGGCAAAAACAATGGAACGCCAAATGCTTCGATTCAAACAAACCTCTTTCGCTTCTTCCACATTCATCAATCTTGTCATACACGCTCGTCGGTTACGGGTACTTTTAATTTGGCCCTGCCTATTACATATGAATTGAAATGAGTTTTGAAAGCTAAAATAAGTTCCTAACAATGTTAGCATATTTACCCAGAGTCCTATGTTTATAACAAAATAGCGCTATCATCGATATTACAGAATTCTAAATGTACATTACATTACTCGCAAATCTGGGGTAGTGAAATTCAAGTTTCGAGTTCCACTTTATAGAATAGCATTACAGTGCAGTCCCATATCTTCCCGATATAGAACAGGCTACCAGACAAAGGGAGCTTAATAGTTGACTGATGGTTAGTAACGTCTCTCTTAAAACAGAATAAGAGCCGAGGAGGGAAGAGATTGTTAGTATGGAGACTAAGGACTCAAGCTAGCAATATACCAGGTCGAACTCCACGAGGTCACTCTGGAAACTATCGTACTGAATTTTAAATGTATTTATCATAAGGGCTAATTGACCTGTCTTTTCATCCTCACTTATCATCTCGAACTGGTGCCCTGCCAGTGTATACCGTTAGCACGGGCGGGGTTAACCATTTCATTGTCATCTATTAAAAAAAATACATGATCAGAGCCTAACTACGGATACCGCTTGCAAAATGTGGCAACTTCTGCTATAACTCCTCTTATGGAGAAGCTAACGAGTTAACGACTAATATTACAATAATAATTACAGGATAAGAGGCAATTAAGGATGTCAAACGTATACTAATGTAAGCGATGAAAGCTTCAACTAAAAATCAATATCGAGCTGTTTGGTTTGATGATAATTATAAGCAATATCGTTTTTACATGGTAAGCGTCACGTGCTCCGTAATAATCAATATTTCTCTAGATAATGTTAAATTACCTGACGGTTTCTTCCCGAATGCTAGCAAAGAGTTGCCAAGTAAAGGCAGTGGAGGGGGACCAGGAATCATATTACCCAATTTATACAGCCTGGACTGTTGTTGTCTTCTGTACAGTAACCATAGTCCACACATGATGATCACGAGAAAATAGAAAAGAAGTCTGGTGATGTCATATTGATAGATTTGTTCTTGTTCAATTACCAGCGACATGGTGCTAAAAAATAAATGATTAGCTTAGTTTATTTTTTTTTTATCAAATATAAGTAATTTGAACTTTTTCAGAGTTATTAATTTCACATAAACAATTAGGATTACAAAAGTATTAATTTAATTTGTTTGTTATAAATAAATGCTGACATTAATTTGTTGATGTCAAGTTTAATTCGAATTAATAATTTCATCGAATTAACAATGCACTACAGATTTTAATAAATTGATCGCTAAACTATTTATCATAATATATATAAATAAAGAACAGATATTATTTTACATAATTTAGGCGAACTTTTGAAAAATATTAAATTTATGGTTTTTAAATTATGTTTAACATCGAACGAAATATCGCAATGCATAGGTTGATAGCATAATTCATGAGGGTAGAATATATATATGGAATTTTCTAGTTGTCTCGAGCCAAACTAACAAAGACTTTGTTACCATTAGAAATTTATAGCTTATTAGGAAATCTTGTGATATACTCGGGAACACTAGAGGCAATATAAACAAAATAAAAGCTACAAAAGAAGAAAAGCAATTCAAAAAAGGTAAATTAACAGTCATATTATCTAAATAAAAGTCAAGTAAAAAAAAATAACTTGAGATTAAAATTTTATTGACTTATTAAAATAACGAAGAAATGTATTTCTGAATTTCGATATTGATACGGTTACTATAAATGTTGATAGGTGCTATGAAAATACAAGTACAATGAGAGACATAGAAGAATGTAAAAGGAAAAAGAAATCTTTGGTTTCATATTAACCACTAAAAGATATTAATTAACTGTAGATATAAAGAAATATTATTAGATATTTAAAAATAAACAAAGATAAAAATATATGGAATTTATATTGTAATAGAAAATTAATAATATGTAATAGATAAAGTGAAATACTACAGAATACCATAAATTTATTATATATTACTTAAATATATTATACATTAAACTATATAAGTTTTCCTAAGAAACAGTATATTAAAATAACTTTTAAATTTGTCATGCAAATCGTGCGGTTTTGACCTCGATTTTATTTATTCAAAGCTTATTATAAAAATATTAAAATATATTAACAAGATTTCTTTATCACTGGAAGATGTAAATAAATATATGTACATATTTTATCTATCTTCACGGCATGTTCTTTACCAGGTAGAATTCAGTTGTTTTTGTTTATATTCCTTTGTTATTATTACATTGATAGTATAATAGTACACTGTATAAATACAAATTTGTGTAAATTAATAAATTAATGAACTATTAACCACATTTAAATATTATTATTCTTCTATTGCATTGTGATGTATGTAACTACCTTTAGAAAGTGCTTTTACCTCCTTTAGTAAGTGCTTTTTATGTATTTATTTATCAAATAATGTAAAATAGTTTTATTATAATTGTCTTTAACATTATTCATTTAAAAAACTATGAACATTTGTATAAAAGCAAAAATAAAGAATGGACCATAAGTCCAAATAATCCAAATAAAAAAAAAACAAATTCTAAAAGTAATACCTGAAGGAAAACAAACACTGCAGTCGTCTGACACTGTGGTTGTGCAATTCCTTTTTGAAAAAACAGCACTTTTATTACAATGACCTATCGTGTAATACACTTGACCCTTGTATTTATAAATAAAATTTGCATTATAATATTATGGTACAACGACAGGAAAGCTCTATTTTTTAATGGTTTAATGACTCCTTACACTGTAATGTAAGCTTAAAACATGAAGCCCCATTTATGTAACAGATATAAATTTTTAGAATATATAATACGAGTATATATTTTTTGGGAGGTGTAGATATGAATAGTCAGTGATAAAGGTAAAAGAAACAATTTTAGAGTTCCATTCCAAAAAGGTACAAAGGAACCTTTATGACGCGCCTTTGTTCGTCCGTCCGTTTGTCACAGCGTTATATTTTGCAATGGATTTACATTTTATTAGTCCGCTTATATTCAATCGAAATAATTTAAAAAAAATATTTTTATTTTCTCTGCTAGGGAATCCAAAATAGCAATTCAAAATTTCAAAATTGATCTACAATTTTTAGTTATGAACGAAAATATGTGAAAAATAATCCTTCCTGTCGCTAAAGTTATAGGAAAATTAAAATAAGGTCTTTAACTAGTATCATTTTTGAGAAATTATCAAAAAGCTTTCAGAAATAAACTTAGTTTGCGGCCTAGTTTTTAACCACAAATATAGTCCAAAATAAGAAATTAAAAATTGTAGTATCCATAATAATAATTACTAGGAGTCTATTTCGTATGAGAAATCAAGTTATTTTATGTAATACATGTTTATATATGGAGTCTTCGGCGTATGAATTCAACTCATACCTGAACGGTTTTGTTTTTTGTACTAATATAAAATGGAATGAAATAATATTTAGTACTGTTATCAAATAATCGTTTATAATAATAATTAAGACGTATTGCACTAATGACAATACCTTAAAATTAAAATAAAAATGTTTTTGATCTAAAATTTATTCAGAAAAGTTTTTTTAGTCCATTTTAATTATTAGAGTAGCTTTGAGAAAACAATGAAAATCTTTATCTTCTTTATATTCAGTACTTACCAACAAGAACAGAAGTAATGGCACACATTCATAAGATGACTGGTCTTTTTTTTTTATTCAATCTATTTTGCCATAAGAATCAAATGAATATTAGTCGATACTTTTTCACAATTACGATGTTTCGATTTTTCAAGTTTTCAAGTCCAGGCAGATACTATTTTATCTTCTTTTTGTAATAGAGTGATCGTAATATATTTTGTATTTGGTAAATAATTGAATTATTATATTTTTATTCATTTATTTATTAGTTACCGGTATATTATACATTTTTATTATAACAAATTATAATTTTATAAAATAGACACTCACAAAAGTAAATCTATTACAAAATTTTATCAAACATATGAGAAACACATCTACAGCATACCTAATAATTACCTGCTCAGAAGGTAAAATTACTAATAACACATAGAAGGGATTAATTAGCAGTCGATCGTTAAATCTACTAAAAAGTGTTAAATAGTTGTTTCAAACGATTATATACGTAGACAATTTGGTATCTTAAGGATTATTAACAACAACCTTCAGCACAATATGGAAGTTGGTAGTTACTTTATTAAATTTAATAATAGCAGGCATAGATAATGTGCATATTAAGTATTACTGAAAATATATATTTGCTTCGTCTAAAATGATTTAAGTTAGATATTCAGAAACATGTATCACAGTCTGAGCATCCATAGAAATTCTCGTGTTATCGAAATAGTGTTACAGAGAATAAAATATTAGATATCTATACTCCTAAATTATTTACTACACTATACACACATGTGTTATATATATTTTCTTGTATGTAAAAGGAGGTTTTATTGCTAGTCCTTTAATAATTTCAACACATTTGGCCTTAGCTAATATCATTTATAATTCTTTTTCTTGGTTCAATATTGATTTTGAATCCATCGGATATCTTTAAAATAATGTCAGCTTGGAGACAATCTTCCTGTGGCACTTTCGATATTATTTCGTAATTTCGTAGTATTGTTGATATCAGCACTTTTAATTTTAACATTCCATATTTACGACCTGTAATGAGATGTAAATATTTTTACTTCAGGGATAGATTGGTTTTGTTTGGCGGAATCAAATTTTATTTATATTTCCTACCACACACACACACACACACACACACACATACACACATTTACAAAGGCATATACACACATTTACAGATGCGCACGTTGCGCGCACGCACGCACCCACGCGCGCACGCGCACTCGCACGCGCACGCGTATATACACACGCACACGCATACGTACACGCACACGCACACGTACACGCACACGCACACGCACATGCACACACACGCACACGCACACGCACACGCACACGCACACGCACACGCACACGCACACGCACACGCACACGCACACGCACGCGCGCGCGCGCACGCGCTTCGCGCACGCGCTCGCGCACACGCACACGCACACGCACACGCACACGCACACGCACACGCACACGCACACGCACACGCACACGCTCGCGCTCACGCACGCGCACGCGCACACGCACGCGCACGCATACGATAGAAACTGTTACATATGTTGCTCCTTGTTACAAGCTTCTTAAATTTTAGGAAACAGGAATACTCAGTCACTGGAGGTCAAGCCACCTAGAGACTCGAGTTAGTTTTGGCAGTTTTATTCTTCAGTCACGACAGAAATAGACAAAATGATATTACTTACTTGACGAGTCATACGTAATTCGTAACGTAATATAACTGATGATTTAGATGTAATAAACAGTTTTTTTATCTTATGAGGCTTACCGATACAGCTTCTAGGCCCGGCACTGAAAGGTATAAAGCTGTAGTAGTGTCGGCGCTGTGTATACTCTGGCAAGAAATTGTCAGGATCGAACTTGTCCGGGTTTTTGTATACTTCTGGATCACGGTGAATTTTATATGGTATAATTACTACTGTTGAGTTTGCCGGTAAAACGTAGTTTTTTGTTTCTGTAGAGGTAATAAATTATTATAAAATTATTAAGTTATAAATAAATATTGACGTAATATCAGATAATGGTACGTTGGGTTAATTATTAATTATTGTGATGATTATAATATTTGGCATGCCCACATTTTTTTTACACTTAAGTCCAATATAAATAATTCTTACAAACATTTGCACTTATAATATGAATACTGGGATATGGTTAATTATTTTGTAAAATTGTTTTATTACAATGAAGTTGCCGTGGGGTCATATCGCATGTAAACGGATGTTAACGGCATAGAATAGGTTACTCCATCGTTTCCCGCGGGTATCGTAAAAGGCGATTAAGGAACTGCGAGGAATGGGCAGCAGCGTCCTTTTTTAAACATCTTCAAAGCCTAACTGCGCTTGCCAATCTGCCTGCCAAGAGTAGAAACTCCAAAACCCCTTTGAGGGGAAACACCCCCTAAGAGATAGGCTTATGTTCAGCAGTGAACAGTTAAAGGCTGATATAATGATAATGATGATGATAATGAAGATGCAAATTCGATACATACTTATAGTAACGTCGTGTTTTAAGTGCCTTGCAATAGCAGGGACAGGTGGAAACAATCGCAATGATTCAAGGATTACTCTCTCCAAGTATTTCATTTGAATTGTATCAGCAAATGTAGCGGGACGATTCGTGTCTCCAAAGATTTCAAACAATTCACGATATACCCTATCTTGAATGTTTTGGTGACCACCCAACAAGGACAAGACAAAACTGGCACTTGCTGCTACTGTGTCATGACCCTAAATGTAACAAAGATTAGGTATAATGTATAGAAACATATAAAACCATAATATTATAGAGTGTAGTTAACAGGTTATACTATTTACATATTACAATGTTAGACTAAAACACAGTGTATTAGTTTATTATAAAATCTTTTTAAATACTTATAAAACTACATACAAATTTCGTATAAATAATGCACTCTTTTTACAAGTTGATAAGATTCCAAGTTAGTACTTAACATTCTTTAATTTCTTTTTCAGAAAATATTTATTAAAGTAATATACTGACAGCAAACATGATGGTATTCACTTGATCTTTGATATCTTTATCAGAAAAATTGTTTGTTCCATTTTGATTGGCTTCTAATAGTAAATCAAGGAAGGCTAGGCGTTTCTTCTCACCTATAATCAAATAATATATAAATTTCTAACTTACTACTTGCATTAATTAAACTACTTGCATTGTACATGCAAGTATTTTAATTAATGCTTAGAGATATGTGAAAGCAAGATAAAATTTTGAAATATTTAGTATTTTATTTCCAGCATATTTCATATTTTATTAGGGTTATATACCTTTTATTCCTACGAAAAATTTCAAAATAAACAGGTGAAATATCTTACCAATATCATTTTCATCATTAAAATCTAAATCGTCTTTGAAATGTTTGAAAATATCATCCGAATAAGTTGCTGTTTTTTCTTCAGGTTGCTTGTGATCATTGGATTTAATTAATCGTTCGTTAAATTTTGGAATTAAAATAGTGTCACTAGCTTTATTGCTTAAATATATTTCCTTTTTGGCTTTAATAACCTAGAAGTATAAATGTTTATGTTATACTACATGTTATTTTATTTTGGATTTATTAATTTTGAATACGATAAATATTTTATAAGTTTCGATAATAACGATTGTACCTGCTTGGTAAGTCCATGTATTGTATTTAAGAGTTCAAATTGTTTCTTAAATAACGTTGTGAATTTGAATGTTAAATCGAGTCGTAGCCATAATTTGTAATGTCTTTGATGTATTATATCACACATCCTGTAAATAATCGCTTTATCAGAGTAATGTAAGTTAATTTTTAGTAGTAATATTTGTAACGACAATATAATAAAAATAATAAGGCTACTATTGCCACCACATGAAGTAGACTACATTGTTCTATTATGGGAATTAAGGACTTTATCAGTGCGTAATAGCTGGAATTAATGTATTATATTACGTAACGCTAGGGTTATAAAAATAAAGGTGCATTATTATTTTTTAATATTTTCTTATACTGTACTCACTTCATTACAGCCATTGCATAATCATATCCAGATTTAGCTTCTGTTTTTCTATTTATACCCATAACGGTTTCTGGAAGAAATGATGTGCAAATTGCATGATGCAAATTGTAAACTTTTGTGTTTAATGAATAATAACAATTGAAAGTACGTAAATTGAGGTCAACGTATTAACATAGAATTAACTTTATTGTTGTCTTTGTTTTATATGCGATAAATATGGAAAATTAACCACTGCATACAAGCACACTGTATAATAATAAAAAAAGTATAATAAAAACAATTAAAGCGCAAGTAAGCCTGGTACTGCAAGGCTCGACTCATAGTTTAATATTTAGATAAAATAACGATTTGATATGAACGCAGTTTTAAAATATATTTCGATTTTAATAGGAAAAAATGAATAACTGCTAATCGAAATAATATGGAATACCAATTAGGTTATACACGGGGTAGGTAAATTTATTGTTTTAGTACAAAAGATAAGAACAAATGTGAAATAAATAATGTAAAGAAAGAAGAACCGAAAATTGGTACGTGTAGTACCCAATTACCACTGAATTTATATGCAATTCGATCTGTTAAAACTAAGCTTTACGGTAAATTGAGATTTATTTTGTTCATTTTAAAATAATTCGAATACTATTATCACAACTTACCAAGAAGTATGTTAACTGATGTACCGCTCATGTTATCATGGATATCAAACGTTTTACCAACTTCACATTTCAGTTGATCTACTAGATCCTTGGATTTTGCATTAAATACGGGCATGAACGACTTCAATACATTCATGTGGAATGTTGGCGCAATCATTTTACGGTCAGTACGCCATTTTTCACCTGAATCAATATAGAATTTTATATCGGCACGATAATCCAACGGTTATGGGTTTATATATAACATGAAAAACAACTAAATAATATTCAAAAGACATTTTAATAATTTATATAGGTAGGATTGGAAGAGATGTATTTGATCCATTTAATCTGCATTACTTACTAAATATAGTAATATTTAAAATATTTTGTTTAAAATATCATTTGTATATTATATAGTATTATTAAATAATATACTTAACACTGTTATTCAAGGCGTTCTACATGAGCACTGTTTCTCAAAATATCGAGAACACTTACTTTAGAATCATTTAGAAATTACTTTTGAATCATGATTCTTATAAAATTTCGACGCTAAATGCTGTCTTTGGAATGACTAACTGGTAAATAATAAATTAATGAAGACTCTTAATAGCTGTCAAAAAATCTTAGACTATATATACGAGTATGATAGAATCTTTTTTATGCAATTTAGAATGACAAACAAGCTGACGACCCACCTGATGAAAAATGGTAACCGTCGCCTATAACTATGAGGAGTATTATGGACATAACAGAGTATACTGTTTCGCCCATGATACCCCCATGCGCTGCCATTCCTGAGAACTCAGGTGTTATTCCTTTATACCCTGTAAATTCACTGCTATATCCCACCCTTCAAACCGAAACACAGCCATGTAAATACTACTGCTTTACGGTAGAAACACGAATGGGACAGAGGAGCCCAAGTAAACGACTTTTATACAAAGTCTCCCTCTGGTTATGGGAAGAATATCGAATTGGGTAATATTTGTAAACAAACCTTGGCTTATAAGTATGCCGCCGCCAAGCCAATGTTTAAATAAGTCGTATTCACTTGACTTATCAATGTGTTCTTGGCTGGAGAGGATAGCTTCAACATCTTCAGCTCGTGTCAGGAATATGAACAGTCTCGTTCCGAGCCAACCGCGTATCACGTGCCCATATTTTTTACCATACATTAAAGCTATGGGCACCACGCCTGCAATGAAGTTTTATTGTAAGACTGTTTGCCTTAAAATCAAAACTGATGATTATCTTAAGAATAATTTGTATATAATTTTTCAAAATATACATATACAAGATACAGAAAATGTTATTGAGGTGTGGTAGTATTTGAATACTATTTTTATTTTACACGAATATTTATTGCAGTATCACAAAATGTCAATGCATAAAGAGAAAAATAATGAAAAATACTATTTAAGTTTGAAGCAATAGAATAATGCAATAAAAAAAAAAGTGTTTGCGAATACTGTGATACATACTGTTCTAAATGCTCGCACTTCTTTTTTTAACATGATTATAATAAACAAAACTTGGACGAGATTACAGAAAAGAAGAATTTACTCGTTTGGTTTAAGATCTCACGTCTTCAGCTATATATTACAACAAAATTTACTGCAATGATAAATCTTTGGCTGTTGTTGAAAATGCCGTGTGATGAGGATGTAAAAAAATAATTGTGGTAGTAAAACTGTTAGTGCAAATAGTTGTAATACAATACAATAACTTAATAGTAAAATAAATCTTGTATTACCTGATGTTTTAATCCCAATGGCTGAGAGTGCATTACCAATAAACGGTAATGCCCAAGGGCCAGGTAACTTGTTGCCGAGTTTGTAAAGTCTTGATTGCCTATGTTTCATATAGAGAAACATGAGACCAGACATTAAGAACATGAAGATGTAGCTGAGGAAATACTCCGCTGAGTAGTTATTTAATATTATTTCTGACATTGTAGTTAATCACTTTCTGAAATACAAGTATTGTGACAGATTCACTTAAACTTTTTGGAATAAGCTAATTATTATGCAATTAATATTTAAATTTTCGATAATCAATGATTTTTAATTTTAATGCCAATGACTGTAATAATGTTTCACATTTACTCACTATTAAAAAATATTAATTCCTAAATCCCAATACGACTTCTTCAGTCATCTATTGTTAATCCATTGAGTTGTGTATGGACTGTCATAATATTAGATATGTACTTACGCGTAAATTGCAATAATTTTTCGAGTTATTAAATAAACGATTTGAATGCGGATACGCCGACGTAACGAAACATGCAACAGCAATTTTATTGCAATTTCTATGGAATGACCTTCTCGGAGTAGAAAAAGTTGACTAAACATGAAAAGTCAATATTATACAATTAAATCACTGAAGTGTAATTTAATTAAAATCATTTCTTTTATATAACTTTTCTTATGTCAGGTCTTGATTGGGCTGTCCACTGGGATAGAATAAATCAATTTTGATTTTTCAAGATTGAAGAAAATGTATAATAGATATCAATGTATGTATTAATACAAAAAAAAAAAAAAACATTATTTAAATCAATAATCTTGGCTTTATTTTTAGTTGAAATAAATTTTTTAAAACCGATAATCACTATTATATTATAACAATTATAATTTACATAGTAAATTCGATGGTTCACCATTTGTGAGAGCAAATTAATAGTACAACTTATTTGCTTTTAATAATTAAACAGGCGTTCTCGGCTGGTAGCGCTATTGTTACCGCTTTTAATTTAGTCAGTAAATGTTTTTTTGCACCTGTCCATCAACTTTAGAAAAGAAAGAACTTAGAAGAGAAATATCATACAACTCTTCAATTGTATGATTTTCTAATATTGTTTAAAATGAACTTACATTATAAAATACATGATAAAGCGTCAAGGGCCAAAAATATGTCAACATTTAGTTAGCTAAATGGAACTTTGGTTAACTCTATTTCTTATTAAAACAAATTGCGCCATTTTTTCAGTGTTGCAAGTAATTGGATTAAAATTTCCCCAGATCTAGTCGATTTATTAAATTTAAATTAAAAATTTTTTTTTTTTTATAACATAAATATGCATATTTTGGTATTGCTTGAGAAATAATATGTTTTAATTAAAATGTAAGCGATTTACAAAGATTTTAAAATGAAAACATTTGTGTCTATTCTTGGATATAAATCAAAGTAATTAAGAAAAATAAGCATTATTACAAATCTTTAGGCACTGTTTACCTTGTTTCTTTAAATATATTCTTAATAATTTCGTATTGTTTTTAAATTTTAAGTTGACTATAATTTCTCCCACATACTAAGGTATAAATGTATATTATGGTAACCCTATTCACGTATAAATGGATAAAATAGTTGACATGTTTTTTCGAAGTATGTGTATATAGAAACTCTATCTACATTATGAAGATTATAAAATGTAACTTACATCATCACTATATCAGCCTTTAACGGTTTACTGTTGAACATAAGCCTCCCTCTTAGAGAGTTTTGCCAGTAGTTACCACGCTTGGCAGGCGGATTGGCAATCGCAGTTAGTTATCGCCTCTTACGGCACCTACGGGAAAGGAAGGGGTGGCCTATTCTATGCTGGAACCACATGGCAGTACGCCACATATTAGTATTAATAATATGTGATATATTATCACGTAATACAGTTTTATAGTGATTTTGACAATTATTTTTCAATCGACTTCATAAAGGAGGAGGTTCTCAATATATAAATATATATACACACACACACACACACACACACACACACACACACACATATATATATATATATATATATATATATATATATATATATATATATATATATATATATATATATATATATATATATATATTTGTTACCTTATAACTCTGTCATTCGTAAAACGAAAATTCTTTAACTGAAAGTATATACTTACAGATTAGTCTCATAAAAATTTAATCAAAATCGGTTCAGTAGTTTAATTTTTAAATGAAAATAATTAATTATGCCATAATTGAAGTCGTTTATTTTTTGGAACACAATCTTATAACCGAAAGTGTTTAATACTGTGTTGGTATCTCGTATTAAGTTTGTCAGTTAAAACTACTTTTGTAAAATCTTATAATTTTGATTTTGAGTATTCTATAAGTATTACTATAATATGTGTACTTATAGTTTATAATTATATATTAAGATATTATTTCACAATATTTATCATTCAACGTATGCTAATGAGTCATATTTTCTTGTTCAAGCACAGCTGTTCTTTATACCTATTAATAAAATAATTTTAAAAATAACTTGGGGGGAAGGGGAAGGGATTGTTAATAATGCGGTCTACCAGTCTTATTGCTAGCAATATACGCTATCAGGTCGACCTCCAAATGGCTTCCCCTGGAAACCATCGTGCTGAATTCCAGGTGTGTTCATCACGATAGGTTAACTGAGCTGCCTTTTCATTCTCACCTATCATCCCTCACTGGTACTTCGCTAGCGTATATCGTTAGCGAGGGCGGGGTTACCATTCCATTATCATCGGCGGTTTTCCACTATGCGTTTTTCATGGCACTTTCTTCCACACAACCCATGCTTTGATTTTCTTTATCAATTTTTTTTTATTTGATTTGATTAATAAACTTCCAGCAGCAGTATTTCCAAACCGATATGACATCGTAACATTAAAAAAAGGGCATATTCTTTTTTAAAAGGCCGGCAGCACATCTGCAGTGCTTCTGGTGTTGTGGGTGTTCATGGGCGATGGTAGTTGCTAACCATCAGGTGAGCCGTATGTTCGTTTGCGTCCTGTGATATAAAAAAAAATCATGTTTATTTTCACTATAACAAAGGCGGTGCTAATACGTTTATACAATCGTTGATAGGTCGCTTTTATATCGGTTAGTTTGTAAACGAACTTAGATAAGATATAAGACAATCTTACATTTGGGTTCATAAAAGCGTAGAGACAAATAGCGTAGTGTAGTACAGACCAGTCAAGATGGACCACGCGTCGGTGTCAGAGTTGGAAAAAATCAACAAAAACGGAACACAGAATGAAATATTTGAGTCGAAAGACAATTTTTGTCGAAAGGAAACTCAAGCGCCGATAAGAAGACAGGTGTGTGAATGTGTTATTAATAGTTTTATCACGTGTTTATTTTCTACATGTGAATTTAAAATATTTGAAAAATGTTAATTGAAAATTTTCAGCACATTCATAGTAAGAACTGCTAATAACATTAATTCTGAATTCAACGTGTAATTGCGGTTAAATAGTAAAAGTAAGAATTTATAGTAACTATATAAAACAGTTAAAAATATGTTTGTCATTGTGGAATACAGTTAAACATTAGATTAACACCTTTTCTCTCTAATCTAAGTTAAACAAACTTAAGTTGAACAAATTTTGATTTGTTTCAATTAAAAGAGATTTTTATTTTACACCTATATTTTGGTTAATCTTTCAAGTTTAATCTTTCAAATTTAATTGTATTATTGTGGAATACGAAGAATTCTAGGCAATTCAATTTTCATGAACATACTAGATAAAAGATAAATAATGAATGTCTCACACAATTCTTTTTTTTTATTATTCACCATTTACAAACTCGATTTCAGTTCAATTTCATTTGTAGGACACATTTGTTTGCATGCCGGCTTCTTTATATTTTGTATTTATATATTATTTTTTATTTTATATTTCTATTTGATATATATTTCTTCATACTTCTTTCCTGATTGACTGATTGAGACGTACTAATATACGACTTCTAGGACGCGTGCATTGCTTTTATTTGTTCGTTATACAAAAACATCCTTAAAAGGATGCTAAAGAAGTATATACCTTGCACTACTATACATAGTCATTACAAGTTAATGTTTTAATCTAATTATAATTCAATTAATAAATAATTTCGGCGACTTGTTACGTGATTTATCATGTTGTTGTCCTCAAAAACCTGTTCATATATTTTAAATAATATACTATTTAAAAACATGTTAATTAAATAATCAAGGAAGTTTTATTTATGGGATCTACATCAAGTTTGGTCTTATGTATGAATTTAATTAGACAATATTAAAATTAGATTAAAATGACATCTTCTTGAATTGACTTTTTTAGATGGTTATTTAATATAGGATTTAAAAGGATTTGAAAATTAATTGATAATAAAAAAGTTGAAGGGAAATCACGGGATAGAAATAATTTATATCATAACTATTTACAATGACTCGTTTTAAAAAAATATGTGTATAGCAAGTACCAAAATCTGTGCATTTATTATATTCCAGATATAGCACTTTCTTTATTTCAAAACTTTCAGTTGCATGTTGCTTAGTCACTTTCATTTTTATATAGTTGGGTTTGCGATTTGGTCCTCTTAACTGGTACATATAGACAGATCAGGATTAAAACTATTCTTATATTCTTCTTTATCCTAAGTCCCTATCTATCTGCTACGTGTATATCAGATTTCATACCATTAAGGTATATCAATTCTAATATTATAAAGAAGAAAGAGATTTGTTTGTAATGAATATAAAATATATAATGGGTATAAGATTGATATAAAACTATACAGTTAATTTTTTTTTACCTATAAAAAGCTACATTATCAGAAACTGATGTCTTCGATCTTTTAGAAATTTCTTATTCCATGTTCCTGTCCTCTACACTGGATTTTTCTCTAATCATCATTTAGGCTATCAAGCACTGGAATGTTTTATCCTTTGGCATTAGATTTGTCGGAAGCAAATTGGCATTCAAGCATAAACTACGTTATATTTATTTAAAATATTTTTAATCGTCATATATTTCAGACATTTTGCTTTGTCTGATGCTGGTATTTCGTCTGTTTGTCGAATAGGTTTTCGTCTGACATTATTTATTATTATATAATATACTAGCTGACCCGGTAAACGTTGTTCTGCCATATAAATATTTTTCCTGGGTAGGGATACCCTATTCACTTAACGGCATGAAATATAATTTACGACCTATTCTCATACGTATCAAATATATATAAGAAATTTAATAAAAATCGGTCGAGCCGTTTCGGAGGAGTTCGACCACAATCACCGTAATACGAGATTTTTATAAATAAGTTATATTATATATGTATAATACAGATAATATGAGTATTATATATATGTTATTTATATTACTGTTTTATATTCATATTATTTCTCTATTTATTTGCTCATTACGTCGTACCGTCCATTATATTATCTGTTATTCCTGTCTACGGTCGACTGGTAGATAACGCCCTTAGATTGTAACGTCTTATGGTGTAAGTCCGTCATTTACACTATCTGTGCGTATCAAAGTTCAATAAATAAATAATACAAGTATAGGGTATAATTTAATTTTTGAAAATTATATCTATACGTGTGGGGGCAGGATCTCTAATTATTTATATGCTCGGCAAAATGTGTGTATTTAAAATGTTAGTTCATTACAACAATGACAGTTGACATATGGCAGACTTATTACCTTAGGTGATGCATGCGCATGCGCACGCGCACGCGCACATCATATATTTGTGTAACTAAAAAATTGCATACAAGCTGGATTGATTGATGTGATATGATGTGATGTGGCAAAATCAAATGTTTATATCTAAAAATCCAGTTATTTTAGAATTAAAAAATTAAACAATTGAACAGATTTTGTTAAAATCTATGGGACCAATCTAAAATTAAATTCTTTCAGATAAAAAGAAAGATGAGAGGTTTGTTTGAATCGAAGCATTTGGCGTTCCATTGTTTCTGCCTACCCTAATGGGAGACAGGCGTGACAGATATGTATGTATGTATGTAAAAAGAAAGATTTTTGTTCCTAGTCGGTCTAGCCGTCTTCAAGTAATAAAGGAATATACATAAAATAATTAAAGATTCTGATGAATTGAGAACCTTTTCCTTTTATGAAGTCGGTTAAAAATTTAGCACAGTATAATATAAGTGGAAAAATATTTTTTTATTTTGATGCAAGTTTTACGGAGATAATCATAGACCCACATGTAAAATTCCGATAACCCCTTATGACTCTGATAGTAGCGGACTATCTTGGCAACTTGCTCACTGAATTTCTTATATTTTCATTTAATCTCATCTCATTTGCGATATTTAATTAATTTGTCAAAGGAATAGTAAATTAAATAAACTTTATCTAATCTAACATAATATTAATTAAAATTAGAGTTAGATTATAAAATAAAAAAAAATTCAAGTGCGAATTGGACTTGCTATTAGGGTTCAGTACTGTTGTAAATCGAGTAAAAATATTGTTACTTGTTAATTAACATAAAAACAGGAATCAAAGTTTGAAGATTGCGTATTTGCGGTGTGAGATTTTATTTTAAAAGAATGCATTCGTTTGTAAAGAAGTATGACGTGATAAAAGTGATGGAGGGTATGCGGTGTCAATATGGGAATGTCATAATAATAAAATATTAAATAGCTATATATGGCATGATACAAACAAATTTTAATAAATTAAGCAGTGATATAGATGTGTTCATAAGAAAATTTGTACTAATTAGATATTTTGTTCGTGTGTTATCCGAGGAAGGAATCTAGTTATAAGAATAAATAATCTGGATGAAGTAAGGATGACTATAATTAAACAAAAGGCAAACAAGAGATATGTATTAGATAGCGGCGTTTGGAACCTTTGATATCAAAGTTATTGTGTATTGAAGTGTAAGTTAGTTCAGTAAACAAAAGATTCTGTGACGTAATGTTATTATTTTTTTAGTCTACTGCAGGGTAAAGGCCACTCCTCTTTTCCTCTATTTGTTTTTTTATTACAATTTTTTTTATGACGGCGTGACTCTTTACAATGTTTGTCCAGCTCATTTTACCGTCTTCGTCTTCATCTGCTACAATTTCTCTTGTCTCGTAAAACTCATTCGGATATTCTATCAAATATGTCTGACCGTTATATTTTGTAATGAATAAAATATTTTAGGACTTTTTATTTCGGCACTGGATGCTAAAATGTACAGTTATACGTCATTAATCAGCAAGCAACCAGTGGCACTGTCATTGTCCGAGTTTATTTATATTTGATAATTAGATAATTACTTAAAGTCAAGTTCTTATTTTATAAAAAAAAATATTTTGTGATATATTTTTTTGATAGAAATGACGAATACTTTGTTGTTGGTTGCGTAAAAATATTACAAAGGATAGGTGTATTAATGTAATTAATGTAGTCCATCTGTGTATAAAATTTATTTCAAATTTATAAGACTAGTCGTAATTTACGCCTTTGCTATGTCTATTAACATAAAAAATAACGTAATATGGTATTATCTATCCTTATCCAGGATATAGTCAATTTGTATTTTGCATACATAGTTTTGATGAAATTTGGTATAAAACTATTAACAACGATGCAATACATGAGTTCCTTTTTTTATAATAATTATAAAACAGTAATTTTATGCGAATGAAGTCATGTGTAAAAGCAATTATCAAATATAAACAACTATAAGCTGAAAATTAGAAAATAACGCAATACATTATGCTAATTTTTTATATCCATTACAATATTACCAATGCTAATTTTTTCATTCTGTTGAGTAAATTGGCCTTAACAAATTATAAGTTGATATTATTATAACCCGAATATTAATGTACTCAGAACATGTAGTAGTATATCTGCTAGATGTAACATTATGATGTAATTCATAATTATTTTGTTTGATATAGGCAACACGTGTAATGTGTATAGACTATAGTTTGAGTTTTGTTGAATTATGCACAGATGGGATAAAGAAATGGCAATGAATCGAGTACCAAGAACGATACTGATAAGTTTATATTATTTAATGTGTATAGTGTTGTGTCTGTAAATGATGATTATCATTTAGCTATTTTAGTAGGCTATCAGCTTGTTTGTCATTTGGAAATAAAAATGACTTTAATAAAGTTAAACTCTTTTATTGTTAATGAAAATTTAATTTAAATTTTACGATAATTAGCAGGTCTGCTCTTGAATTTAATATCGATGTCTAACAATGACAAATTTAATTGCACACATGAAATCTACAATAATTTATATTGGAAAGATACGCTAATATATAACAATGACAAATTTATATTGTACTTATCACACATGAAATAACAATTAGATAAAATGTTATGATATGACTTATTTGAATCCTAAATTGCATTTAAATTCATTTTATCGTTTGGGCATGATTTAGAAACACACATTCAAATATTTTTGTATATCATTTCTATATTTATTAGTAGGTAATAGGAAGTATGATAGTAGGATAAGAATAGACAATATTATTATCTTAAGTAGATTAGTAGGGATTAGTAAATTAAATACTGCTCACCTATTTAAGATCATAATCATTATCTTTAGCAGTAACCCATGGCTTTGCTCATGTGAATTACTATGTTTGTTTTTAACATAATTTTGTTTCATTTACGTATTATTCAAATCTCTTTAATCGTGATCGAGAATGTTTAATTAATATCCAAATATATTAAATACCAAAACAACTTTACAGCTTTCACATTCAAGCGAGGAAAATAGCGGCACACCTTTGTTGTATGTTATATCAGCCGTTAACTATCCACTGCTGAAAAAAGCCTCCCTTATAAGGGGGTTTGCAAGAGTTGCCCCGCTTGACAGGCGGGTTGGCAACTGCAGTTTGACTTTTGGTGATCTTTTAAGAGGGACGCTGATGCCCATTCCTTCACCATAAGCTCCCTTAGGCACCTCTTACGCACAAGAAAGGAAAGGGTGGCCTATTCTGACACACACATTTAGTTTATAATAATTGTTAGTATTTTTAAATCATTATCATATTGACCATTTTATTCTATCTTGTTTACATACATGTTAGATATTTATTTACGTATTTGTTTTGCTACTTTTTAACTAATATATTTCCGTAATGATAGCGGTAAGCCTCCTGCTCAATACATATTAATGAACCCAAACAACGATCACTTACTAAACAAACAATTATAGGAATTAGATTGTAATATGTCAATGTGTATTTACATAAATATCTTGCGTAGTGTTTAATCGTTGAATTTAAGGTTACGTCACTGTGCTATGTCACTAGGTTAAAAACATTGTTACATTTTAACGAACAAATAACAATTAGCTATTAAAAATATTTTATCCAAGTATATATGTATATATGAGGACATATTTCTTTATTACTTGTTTATTATTTATTATATTGTTTATTATCAGGTTTAACATAACATATTACGAGGTTTTAGATTAATCCCTACTATCCAAAGTTACGTGTATTTTTGGTAATATTATATTTATATAATAAATATTATTAAAAGTTACATGATAAAAATATCCTGTTTGCCTATCGAGCCTCATGTCAGTTATTTTTTACTTTATTTATAACAATAAAACTCGAGTCATAATGGACAAAAATATAATTTTATAAAATATTAAAGATTAATATATAAATATATATATATATATATATATATATACATTTAAAATTTAAAAAATTATTATTAATAATAAATTTAAATTTAATCTATTGTTTACAGATTTTAACGTGTTTTGGAACATTTATGGTGACTCTCGGTTCAGGCGCAACTGCTGGATTTTCTGCGATTCTTATTCCACAATTACAGAACTCAAAAGAAGAGAGACAATATTCAATAGAGATGATATCATGGCTAGGTAAGTCCCTAGGCAAAGTTTTATAGCTTTATAGGAATACGGAAAAAAAACAATTACGATTACTACAAATAACTCTGGATATTTAATTAGATTGTTTTGTTTAATTCCGCCCATTAATGGTAGCGGAATTAAACAAAAAAAATCTGATGTGTGTCGATTGCCAACATTCCAGGCTTGACTACTGTTAGTAGAGGCTCTATAGCCTTCCTTATTAGTTAACAATCTTTGCCTTTCTTATTCAGTTTACGAATATATTGAAAGTGGTATAATAAGGACTACTACAAAATAATACCTAATTCAATAAAATATATAAAAATAATATAGAAGTAGTTACATTAAAGAAAAGATATTGCTATAGCAAATAATTTCTTAAATTTAATATATATTAAAAAAAATATAAGTTATCAATAGTTTTATTAATTGTTTACTCTTTTTTCTCTTTCAGCGTCAATATCGTCATTTGCACTAGTATTTGGAAACCTACTCTCTGGATACTTGATGGAAAGATTTGGAAGAAGAATGTCCCAATTAGTACTGTGTGTATTCTTTGTATCTGGATGGGCTACAATCGGTCTATCTAATGAAATTATATATGTAATACTAACTGGCAGATTTATTACTGGACTTTGTCAAGGATGGCTTGGTCCACTTGGACCAGTATTTATAGGGGAAATTAGCTCACCTATCCATAGAGGATTTTTCTTAGCAGCTTTGTCATTAGCCATAGCAACAGGTGTACTTATGTCTCATTTCTTCGGTACAATTCTACATTGGTCTACTACGTCAATACTGTGTGGATCATTTCCTTTGATTGGTGGGATTATATTATATTATGTACCTGAGTCACCAGCATGGTTAGCCTCTAAAAATCGAATCGATGAATGCATTGCATCCTTTCAGTGGTATAGAGGCAATGGTTTAGAAATGAAAATGGAATTAGATAAAATGATTAATGAACAGACGAAGAAAGATACAACAAAGGGGAAGTTGGAATCATTACAGCAGAATATCAGGAAGCCACAATTTTGGAAGCCTCTATTAATAATGATAGTATTCTTTTTAATTACGCAGCTCTCTGGTGTAAATGTTATATGTGCGTATACTACCGACATGATGAAAGAATTAATTGGAGAGGATACGAGTAAATCGAGTGCATACATCGCTATGTTGAGTATAGATGTTCTACGATGTGTATCATTGAGCGTAGCTTGTGTTCTACTAAAAAGAATGGGTCGAAGACCTTTGGCATTGTTCAGTGGAATATTTACATCTACGTCATTGATAACGTTGGCCCTATATTTATATTTAGTTAGTACAAATCATATACGAAATTTATCTCCAGCTATATCTTTAGGTCTTATGGCTTTCTATATAATTGTTTCAAACTTAGGCATATCCCCATTACCATGGAATATGGTTGGTGAAGTATTTGCAACAGAAACGAAGGGCTTGGGGTCTGGTATAAGTGTAATGATGACATCAATAGCTTTCTTTGGCACTGTAAAAACAGCACCAGCAATGTTTCACAGTATAGGACACCAAGGAACATATTTGTTTTATGGGGTGTCTACTTTAATAGGAACTATATTTTTATTCTTTTGTTTACCAGAAACAAAAGAAAAAACGCTTTTGCAAATTGAAGAGTATTTTAGAGGTAACAAAAAGGAAAAGTTAAAAGATGAATTACAAAAAAATCCGTTACTACAAATTTAGATGTACTATCTACAAATTGTCGTAAGATCTTTTGTGATTTCACTCTCGGTATTTTGTTTCATATAGAATAATTTATCAATAATAATTACTTATCAATTAGAAAATTTAAACAACTAATAATTTTCTATAATTTCTGTATTAAAAATATTATTTTTTTATGAAATGAGTACGACAAGAGATCAATGTTGTATATAGACATAACAATTAATAAATCTCGTAGAGTATTTGTTTGATAACAAAAATAGAGTATAAGAGTATTTTTTTTTAAATACGGTATTAGCTTTATAAGATGTAATAACATTTTTTTTTTCAAATTAAATTTATTGTCAGAGACCATACAATCAAATATTTAACTGCAGAGTTTTCTGTATTAATCAAGATGCTACTTAGTCTTAAAATAAACTAAATTTTAATATGTATTTATATAATGTCACATAAATTTAATGAACAATATTAATTGGATTTAGTTATAGAGGATGAATATATGGATACAGGCATATTTTACTAGATATTGTCTTAGAGTGTTATGTTTTACTATTGTATTGAATCAATGAATGAATGAATATACTTTTATTTGCATTTTGCAACAGGAAATAAAAAACATAATCAATAGATACAATACATGTACTTGTATAAACACAATAAATCGGTCTTGTTGTCAAAAGTAATATTTTCAAGATAATTTTATTCAAGAAAATTTAATTGTTGACAACTGTGAATGTATTATGATAATACTCCTATATTATACATTTATACATTTCTTATCAGATTGTTTTTATGACTTATTAAAAGGTAAGATAGTATATTGCAAGTTGTGAAATAATTGAATGCATATTTTCAATTGTAATATGTTGGCACGAAATAAATTTCGACCACAGTTGTCGGGAAAGACAAATTAGTAATAAAGAAAAAGAAGTTAAATGAAGCATACTGTTTATAATATGAGAATAAAAAAAAAACACTCTCTACAAATCTATGAGTACGAGTATAAAGAAAAATATAAAATATGAATATGTAGCAGAACCTATGGAGTGTATTCCGAGATAAATTAATATGGAAAAAAATATATTATATTTATCTTAATATTAGAGAAGATGGTAATTTAAATTGACGTAGTGGGCAGGCTTAATAAAAATATAGTGTAGTAAATTATACGAAATATGTGAATAGTGATTACCCACATATTTACAACAGGTAATATTTTTTTTCAATCTTATCACACCTGTGTAAGTAAAAGTCTTAGATAATTTTGGATTCAAACTAACAAGAAACGTGTTCATTATATAAGGTAATCCCTATTTGTAGTTGGATACTATTGAGGTATTAATTTAAACGATATTTTTGCCAAAATTATTTATTTTTAAATTTAACGATATGGATTTTTTTTATTGATAAATAACAACAAACTCATTATATAATTACAGATAAAATTAATGTTTACTTAATTACTACTTAAATATAATAAACAACAAGAAAATAAACTTACTTCCACATTTAATAATATAAATGTATAATTAAGAATTAAGTTAGTTTGCTTGTTGTTTAAGTTTTTTTTGTTATTTATATTACATGATCTAAGTACTTATCCTAAGAAGAAATTATAGGTACTTAATGTATTTAAATTATGCTAAGTATAGGTGTATTCACGTGTATATTTTATATTTCCTAGTAAGTATGATAACTAGTCAAATTGTGCAATAAACTGATAGTTCAGTAGTAGGTTTAAATTAAATTAAGTAATGCGTATAGCATTACTCTTAACTGAATTATTTGTAATAAAATTTTATTAACAGTGAACAATGTTTTTTTACTTTCAATTTTTTACCTTTCACATTGGAAGTTATGGCTTAAATACTTGTCAAGTTATAACATTGACAGTTCCAAAATCTTTGTTATGAAAATTTTTTGAGGTTTCCTTTTTATAAAATATTAAGTGGAAAACAAACTGACGGTTTATATAATACTTTTATACAGATCATAGAGCAGGCTTCTAATAATACTTTCATACGGTTTTTAAAAAAAAGTCTCACTAAATTCATTGTACTTAATTTTGAACTATTTATTAGAATAAAATAAAATCGTTTATTATTAAATTATAATAAACCTAATTAAAATAAACAAATAAATAATCAAAGGAATTAAGGAATTAAAATATGAATACATAAAATATGTAGAAAATATAACGAATTTTCTAGCTCACAACATTTCTCCTATTTTATTTACTAAATTCAGGGATGAAATGTTAGGAAGAAGTTAGTTTAGTTCGTCTACCGTGAAGAATTACTAAGAATAAATCACGATAGTTTCTAGTAGCAAGTGTATGACGATTGATCTGATACAGTATACTGCTAGCGATGTGACTAGTTAGTCCTTGTCACTTGTAATAAATTTCCATGACATCCTGTGATAATTTTCTAGTTTTTAAACCTATTGATATAGACTTTTGTCAGACAGTATTTTATAATCACAACCCCAAATAAGGTAATAGCTAAAGTGTCAAGTAACACATGCAACTATTACACACAACAGTGGGCAGTATTAATGGCGTTCGCAAGTAAAAACAAAACAGGTCTATTTTACGGTCCGTTAACTGAGCAAGTGGCACGCGTCTACTTTGGGTCCAAATTATAAACTTCTTCCTGTTGTGACACGTGGAGCACCAAGCTCCACCGATTCAGTAACATCTGCGACTAGATTTTTTTCAAAATCCCAGTTTCCCACGTTGGTACGCGACATGTTTTTGTCGCGAGAAAAAATAAGGAAAACATCTGGTGAGTGCATAAGGTTATTTTTGGAGAGCTTGAAGTGTTTATGAAGTGATGCCTGAGGTAATGTTTTTGTAATGAATATGATCACAAAAATAAGGAACTGGTATAAGTTCCTATTCATAAAGTGTGTGTCTCCCAATATAATATAATTATATATATATATGTGTATATATATATATACATGCACACACACACACACACACACACACATACATATATATATATATATATATATATATATATATATATATATATATATATATATAGATCTTCCATATTAAAAAATGTGCATATAGGGAAGATTATAAAAAAAGATATAGTTTAGATATCTACTCAGTACTCATGAAGGGTTCAACTAGGAATAAGTAAAAATAATAAGTCGGTGGAATTGTAAGTACATGATGTATATACTAAAATGTAAATAAGTATTTAATGTTAATTAAATTAATGTTGACAATTACGCAAGTAATAAATTATGTTTATTTATATACAACTATGACAGGAACATTTAAATATGTCATCCACCTGCCCACATAAATATGTATTTAAGGAAATAATTATAGTTTTTCTTCAAACAATTGCGCATATGCAATAATTAATTGTGAAAGCTAATTACAATTGGTTCATTTATTATACATAAATAATAAATAATATAATAAATATACTATTATTTAGAATAACAGGTTTATTTCTAAAGCAAGAAATACACAGTAAATTGACAAAAAGTTATATGTTACTGGAATATTTTATTTATTTTTTAGTTTGCTCAGTCAATTGTCAATTTAATAATGAACAAAAATAAATTAATCAATGACCAATCAGTTGTTAATTTGAATAATTAATTTTAATCGGGTCATGATTACCATAAATAATGCATGAAGATAATAGAATAGGGAACTGTGGTTTAGAAAATTGCCTTTACACTAAATACGTAAGTTCCTGTACGTTTGTTTGTGTACTCACGTTGCCTATCATATCATCAGTAGACTGAGTTCGAAAAGAATGTTTTAATAATTTAGAATCGGACACGTGTCTGAACGGAAACGGTACACGTGCTATCAATTAAAAGTGGAGTTGATAGAAAAAAACTACTAGATATTATTGAAGTTCTGCCCTTTGAAGTGGGCGGAGCTATAGCCTTTACAACAGTAGAAAGCGAATATCATAAATTTAACCCTCTTTTAGAAATGCAAAGGGTTGTACAATAAAATGATCGGGATTACACTTTATATTTGATATCAATTAAAAATGAAATATGGAACGGGGTGTAGACTTCAAAACATAAAATAAAATATGATTTTCTAGAGATTTGTATATTATTACGATATTGTATCTACATGTGTACTTTGGTAAACTAGTAAGCATTAAACATCACTATGTTTAATGCTTACTAATATTATAAATGTGAAAGCGAGTTTGTTTATATGTTTTTTTTTTACTTCTTGGCGCATTAATAGCTCACATTTGGTATAGATGTAATATTTGGATGGAGAAGGATATAGGCTGTTAATAAATGTATCCTGGTCACGCAAAAATTACTTAAAAATAAGTGCTATAAAATTAAACCGCAGGAAATAATTTGTTCATGATATCTATGTGCATAATTTAGAATTCCCATACCAAGACACCTGACTTTATCAACTACTGTATTTACATATTGTCATTGTTGACTACATTTTATCCATTGATTTGTTTTTATCAGATAGCTATTCTAATCTAATTACTACATACGAAGATATAATTTATCCACAATAATAAGTCTACTAATTTAAAGATATAATAGTGTTAAAACTGCTATGAAGTGTTTTTTAAAATGTGTAACGTAACGTATGTATGATCTTGTGTTTCCATTGGAGTATTTAAGATTATTTTCAGGCGGTGGTGAGAAGAATATTTTTTATTTCCCAATAAAAAAGACGCATACATATCTACTCTTAGACAAGTCTTACTTATAGCGGAAAGTTCCGTTCGCATTATGGAATGAGTATCAGATAATGTCGAGGTAGGTATGGCCTGTTCGATCCCCCTTATATGTTTACCAATCTCTCTGCTTCCTATTATATGTTTAGAAAAAAAATTAATTAAAAACAAAACAATTACGTAAATAAACTATATCTTTTAAATATTAAACTATAAAATCATATCTAGAGAACTCAGTGCTGTTCAAATCCCACTAATATTTGAATATCGGAATCATACACGGAAAAATTCTACAATGATGTAATACATCGACAACTTACCGTTATCTCCAAAAAAACAAGTACTTTAACAACACAAATGTGGAGTTTATAATGTTTCCATTATTATTTACACGAATATATTGTAATGCGATTTGTATGAACGGAAGCGTGTAGGATATAAGTTTGGTATACATTCAAAAACCATGTCAGCCATGTGCCGTGTGCATTATGCGGCCATGATTCCGGTCTTTCATATTAGGGGTGGAAATATTTAAAATTTAAATTATTAAATTCACTTTGTTCAACTTTACTCGTAAGTTACTGATGTCAATTATTGCTTCCTGAGTCATGTAGTTATTTTAAAATATTTTTTTATACATGAAATTAGATATGAACAGCACCATGGCCATTACAGAGTATAAACTCTCTTATGGTACCGTCAGGTGTTGCCATTCTTGAGAAGTATTTCTATTCGCCGTAATTTTACTACTATATCTTTTAAACTTTAACATGACAGTCGCATAGTCGTAGTAATATAAGTGGGACAGGGGTAACCATGTAGATGTCCTTGGGGGGGGAAGGGATTATTAGTAATGCGAGCTATTAGTTCCATTGCTAGCAATATACCTTGTCAGGTCGACGTCCACACGGTTCCCCCTGGAAACCATCGTGGCTAATTCTAATTGAATTCGTCAGGATGGGCTATCTGGCCTGTTTTTATTCTCATCGATCACCCTACACTGGTGCTCCGCTAGCGTATCCCGTTAGCGCAGTCGGGGTTACCATTTCATTTTCACCCATCAAAAAAAAAACATGTAGATGATTTTTGGATATTGTCTTCTGGCAATATATTGTTTAAATGGCGTTAGAAAGGGTTTATACTGAAGTTATCACTACAGAGTTCCTGTTGAGGAAGTTTAATATATTAATTTAAAAATGATCTGACTTTTACTTTATTAATTGTTACTAGCGAATTTATTTATGTGATCTGGGCAATATCATAGCTTATGTATACTTTTTCATCCCAAATACTATGTTTTCTAACTATTTTTTTGCCCTTTCTTATGTACGCGTAGATTTTAGAAGTAGGAAAACAAATGAAATAAACTACTTCATAATACCATATTAGGATAAAATATACACCAGTTTTTAAAGTTGAGGGATCCGCATTTAATTAGGTACAGTAATTTTTTTTTTGTGAAATTAAAACACACTAACAGACAGACAAATAAAAAATTTTGTTTTAATTTTAGTTTATTAAGATCTAAAAGATTATCAATTATTAAGATTCTTCTTATTTATTTTTATAAAAATCTCCCATAGCACAGACATCGTCTATTTACAATTTTATTATATTAGTGTCTATAAAGATTAGAATTCATTAAAGTTATAGATTCATCAAAGTTATAGTTTAAAAGCAAGAAAAGGAAAGCAACTTGTCATATTAAGTCAAATGCACCCTCTTTCCTTTAAACAACACACATGACTCGATGTTCTATTTTTGTGCATCATAATTAGGTGAACGTACAACTTGTTCTACCATATTGAGTATTTCTGCGGATATGCGAGTATATAAATGTGTCACTGTTACTGTAGAAAACCCGAATTGTGGTAATTGTAAAATATTTATATATTTATATAAGAGATGTGGTAAATGTCAAAATATAGACATAAAATTAAAATCTTTACATTTACCAAATTATGTTGCCTTAAATTGTGTAGTGGTAAAACCTAAGATTTACTAACAGACATACTATAGACTACAGACTTTACAGTAATAGTAAATATATAAAAATTCGAAGGATTATTGAACCTTCGAATTTTATATATATATTCAATAATTATTTTAATCATATTATTTCGATTTACTTCGTAGTTTAATTTGTCCCTTCAAATGTTATATGAAAAATTCATATACATATATATTTTTTATGCAACTTAGAATGTCAGACAAGCGGACGACCCACCCTATTTCATATAAGTACGGTATTTATATTAATGAATAATAGAAACATTCTTATAGAAAGACATTTACATTATTCAGTTTTGTTACATACAATGTTGTATATTATTATACAGGAAACTGTAAACCTACAATAAAAAAAGTATATTTCTAAGTAACTAGTGACGTACAACAAACATTATTGTTAGTAATTATTGACTTTAATTTGAGTCAGTCTCAGTTACTTTATGGTATTAGTACATATTATTCACATGAAATGACATTACGAATATCTAAAGTATTTATAATTGTGTAAAACAGATGTAAACAATGATATCTATAACAGTACAAATCAAGATTACGATTTGTCATTAAGAAAACAATTTGTTTGTATCCTTGAATTTAAGATTGATAATTGGTGATAATAATAGTGTGTAATGTTGGAATGTTATGTTAGCTGTATATAATTCAGGTATTGTATCTTCATTATCATCATATCAGCTTTTTACTGTCCACTGCTGATCATAAGCCTCCCCTTAGGGAGGTTTTGCTAGTAGTCGCCACACTTGGCAGGGAGATTTGCAACCGCAGTAAGGCTTTAGGAAGGGGTGGCCTATTCTATGTCAGGACTTCACGGCTACTATACAAAATAATTTTTTTAATGGATAATAATAGAATGGTAACTCCACCTGTGTTAGCTATACACTGGCGGGGTACCAGTGAGGGATAATAGGTGAGAATGAAAAGGCAGGTCAGTTAGCCCATCGTGATGAACACACCTGAAATTCAGCACGGTGGTTTTAGAGGGGACCACGCGGAGTTCGACCTGACAGGGTATATTGTTAGCACTGGTAGTCCGTATTACTAACAATTTCTTCCCCACTCCTTCCTATACAAAGGCTAGGCAATGTACAAATATACAAAGCATATTTGTAATTATTATTTGCATAAAGAGTAATCGCAATTATTAAAGTACATATTAAATTGACATTCTCTAGTGTGCATGTTATAAATTGTTTGTATAAGTAATAGTATGAGTCACTGTGTGATATTATGGAAAGATATATAATCTTTATATAAATTGTGTCTCTAAATAATTTGTCATTATTTGTTTGTGTTGATGTGTGACGCATTTTGAAATTATATGATCTAAATGAATTTATCTTGTTTACTTATAGATGATATATTGTACGTTTTAAAATGAGGTTTATTGCTATTTACTTTACAGATTAAATGAACTTGACATTGTTTTATAGCTTATAGTGTCTGCGCACATAAGGAGAACTAAGGTTCAACGCATAGCAACCCAGTGATAGAAGCCGTTGCTATTCACCCCGTGAACGCGAGAGATAGAACGAACAAGTCTGGAGGCAACATACATTATACACTTTATTATTAATTTTTCCAATAAATCACTAAATGATGAAGTTGTTGTTGTTGTAACCTTATTAAAAGTATCATACAAACAAATCAAATCCTACAAACGTTTGGAGTCAGATTTAAAGAAAATATTGGTGATTGAAACATATAGTAGGTATAATACTAATAATTTATTAGTCATAATTAATATATTACGCCTTGTAGCCAGTCTTGTTATAAATATTTGGTAACTAACATAGTTAGTTCATTTATTATAACTAATAGTTATAATAAATGAAGTTCGTGTTTTCTGTACCATAAAATTCACTAAACTTTGATAACGTAAGTGAGTTTTAAGTAATAAAATAAATAATGATATTAGTATTAAATAGGTAACGAATGTTTACATTTAAATTTACTTCTTAAATCATCATACTCGTAATAGTATTTTTTTTATCTTTTTTATTTTGAGGCTTTTATCCTATAAGGATATGTCAGCCCCACCATACTCTAATCTTAAAAAGTATTTCATATACATTAATGTATTATTAATTATTATTATTTATTACTTAATACATTAATAAATAATACTTTAGTAATCTATTTTAATATAAATAATAATTGTATTTGTTCTACATTGTCAAGAAGTTTATTTTATTTATTATTATTATTTATTTATATTTTATGGTACACAAAAATTACATAGTTAAAGTCTATATTAAATGAAGATGTACAACAGGCGAGCTTAACTCTGTAAGAGTCCTCTTCCAGCAAACATTGAGTTTTAATTTTTACTTATGTATTTTCCTTTCCTTTCGTGCTATATATTGGTAATAAACTTTTTCCAACAACAAATCAGATTGATTACGACCTGATTTACTCATATAGAATAAATCAGGCATTAATATAGGTATCTTGATTATTTGATATATAATATTTATAATAAAGGTTTTGGCAAATAAAATAGTATCTATTTATTTATTCCTACTACTACTTACTCTTTTAAAACTATTATTTATAATGTGTTACTATATAATTCTATATGGCGCGTTTTTAGGCGGACTTTTGATTATAATTTTAAATCAATTATGTCAGTTTTATGTATCTTGAAGTTTAAATCATTTGACATAACGCATAAAATTAATTAACAAAATTGAAATTATACATTTTCAAACTTCAGTGTAGTATGATTCCGCATCATAGTAAATACTTATGTATTTGCTGGACTATATCGTTGCCACCATCAATTTGTGGTTACAATTATAATAGTTTTCAAATAGTTAGCATCTGATGTGAGTATAAAACATTCACACGAAATAGAGTATCAGAATGATTGCTTTGAACCATTCGTTCCAAACGTCGCCCATATGTTTTCCGTTTTGAGTCAGTTCAAATAGAATTAAACTAATTACATTCAAACAAAAGCATATGCCACCATGACTTTGAGAGTTTTGGCTCTCTCTCTGCAGTTAATTTAGTAAGTTTTTGTATAATCTGTGGTGATCGCCAGATGGCTATGCGCTCACGCATGCCGTATGGCGTCACGGCAGTATCGTGGTGCAATTTCACTGTCTATCTAAAGCAATCTGGTGTCACGTCTTACGAATGTTACTAAGACAGATATATATCTGTATATAGATTTATTGAATGCTAGTATTATCATATCAAATATTATTTATCTTTTGCTAAACATAGGCCTTTACCATCATATCTGCCATAAGGAACGATCCTTAGCCATCTACATCCATTAACTTCCTGCAATACATTGGAGGTCGTTTCTACATCTAGCGGGGGCATTCTACACTGCATTTGTCCGTACGGGGTCGCCAGTCGACCTTTTTTTTTAGTTTCTTGAGGTTAGTCACAAAATAAAGTGGCAATGGCCAGCCCATTGCCACTTTGTCTTGGTTGCTACAGTGTCACTTTGGCGGCTTTTTCAAAATTTTTCTCTTAATCTAATATTGGAATTTAATAATTTCACGGTATTATTATTTTATGGACAATCATAAACTAAATTTATAATAATTTATTAGAAAATTAGCTCATATTAGACTTAACAATAAAGATTTCGCCATGAAATCAGATTGAAATTATAATTTTTGTGATATACCTATTTTCCATCCTCAGGATCAGCCCCATTATTAAAATTAAAACGGTTTAGCTCAAGACGTAATATAAGTAGTCTATGGCCTTCTCCATGCTACAAACTTTTATGATAATTGTCATTGTTTGTTACGTTTTAGCGTTTTAACGGTTTCAACTTATTGGTCGAACCGTTGTTGACTATTGTCGCAAGAGCGTATTGAATAAGAATGTTTATTTGTAAGTATTATCTTTGTTTTCCTTTGTCTTATTTGCATCAAATAAAATGTCATTATTCATACAATTTACATGTTATTTAATATTTAAAACTAAATACTAATATATAAAATAATAAATAATGTATAAATTATACTCGTAGTTAATCATAAAATAAAAGAAAAATATTATACAGTTACTAATAAAATAGTACTTATGCATAATACATACCTATACATGTTTGTAAATTCTACGTACCTATTTAAGTACAAATATGTAGAATTTTTTATAATATTATACCTATACGCAATCAGCACAAAAGAATAACAGTGGAATTTTTAGTAAAGAATGACATTCATTGTTAATTATTTAAGTAAATAACCTAAGATACGATCACACATTCAACTGCCGTCTATGCATCAGAGCAACAGATTATTATAAAATATATGTTCTAAAGTTTTAATCTCTGAACACGTGGAGCGTAGACTTTGCACGAAGTGCGCATTGAAAAAGTGCTTATTCAGTTTTGTTCGTTGCTTTTTGGTAGTTCCCTAAAGGTAAAGTCCATTTTTTGCTAGTTCCCATGAACCCTACGACAATGGTCGACCTCGCTGAAAGACGCCGAGTAGATCCACGCAAGAATAAATATTGTACAACAATAGGGTAGCTTCTTTGACTTTACCTTGTACTATAGTCGATTTGCCAGTTCATGATACTTTTAAATAACAGTATCTATATATATATCATATATAATATATTTCTACATAATCAAGGTTGTCAATAATACACATACGTATCGTCAGTATTGTTTAGTAGCTTAAGTATGTTCAAGTAATATATAAACTTTATATATATATTATATATATATATATATATATATATATATATATATATATATATATATATATATATATATATATATATATATATATATATAAAGTTTATTCACAATTATTGTGTTTATATTAACAAAATTTAGTACAGCTTAGGATCATTATATAAATAATTATTTCACTTTTCTTAATTATGTAGTTAATAAATAACGTATCGGTTATAATGCAATCTTTCGATACAACAACAAAAAAATAGTCAAATCAATAATCTCGTTACTTTTGAAAATGATAAAAAAAAATAATCTTATAGATATTTTTAATCGACATATATAAAAATTAAAACTGTACCAACTATCAACAACGTACAGTCATCGTATAATCCCTTCACAACAAAAGCTATAGCGGGTCGTAACGGACTTTTTCATAGCATCGATCAGAGTCGCTTCCTAGTTTTGTCATGGTAAGAATCTCTAAGCATTCCCACGCATCAGCTAACCAGATTCGGGTGCCCTTTAGTGATTATAATGTGATGTGTATTTAACCACATCTATACATATTCATAATTGCAAGTTCACAAAAAAATATGAAGGAACCTTTGATGAAATTTATTGGATCTTAAAATTTCTTCGATTATTCTTGGCATTTCGTATAAGATGCGATGTTATATTTTTAATTATTATTGATGTAAGTAATCGTCGTGCTTTTGTACTCATAAATCGACTCGATCGATCGATCGACTATTTTTGTATGCACTTTGATAAATAGAAAATGTTTGTAGTAGAATAATAAGTCTATTAATAAAACAATTTGAAGCAATGTTATAAATTAAATTTTCTACTGAAAACAAAATTATTATGTGCTTTATAGCATGACTAGTAAATGAAGCATGACGATATTGCGGGCACAGGGCACAGCTAGCTTCAAATTAACTTTTATGAATGTCGCTAAAGTTACATCATCATCATTTTATCCTGTATCTGTCCACTGCTGGACATAGGCTTACCATGCGCGGTTCTCCGCGTTTTACATCCATCTATTCCCAGTACTCTTAATATCGTAGGTCTGTCTAGAAAGTTATCTGATGTACTCGTATGTGAAAATTTATATATTTGAAACTTTGATTTGATGACGTCTTTGTGTGGTTACGGAGTAAGATTATTTTGTTTCCAGAAAATCGTAGGTACTAAGAAGGGGATAAAGCATGACACAACAGTTCAAGAGAACGAAAAATATATACCAAATCGCCTGGCCATCAGCAGATAATATTCTCGTCGTATGGAGACAGACCTGTATCTAGTAGTGTGATGTTAATATTTATAAGGATAATATAAGAGTTTATATTTAAGAGCTTATTTTGTATAATTAAATAGATACCTTAAATTATATTGGGTCTGATGACTCAACAAAAAAATAGTAAGTATTCTTGTAATTGCAGTGATGCAGTATTAATGTTCTGTTAATGTTATATACCTATTTTGAGTGTTTCGTAAAAGCAATAAAGTCCAACTCACAGTGGTTCTTAAGCATCTTAAGTACTGTAATAATCTGAATACCGATATAGTTTTAAAAATACTTAGTCTATGGTAAGCTTCCATGAGTACTTATAACCCTTAAAGATAAGGGTACCAATAGCAAAGTTTAAACGTAAGGTTGCCTGCAGTTGTACGTTAATATTTTTGACCGGCGTTTACTTCTTTGTTTGTTGACGTTTAAATAATATAATAATACACTCAAATATAATTATAACTATATACCAATAATTGTCGTAATTAAAAAGCACTTATTATTGATATAGGTATTATGTAAAAGATATATTTGCAATAGGCCTATTGTTAAAAAGCGTATTACAGTACTGCCAGCTTAAATCACTATGGCATTAGCAATGTACGAGTATATCGGACTGTATGTGCAAATACATGTTCATTTATTTATTTATTTTTGTTTCATTTTTCTATTTATTAGACAAATATCACCATTTGAGCTAAATATTTTGCATATTAATTTTGACATTGACTGCGTAACATTTATTTTTGTTTAATTTCATAGGAACTACGAGCATTTCCTTAATTCCCCACATAAAGGAGATGCAAATGGTAGCAGTTTTTAATAAAAAATATTTTATGAAGTTGCTTTCTTTACTATTATAGTATATCTATATGTATATTTGTTAAAAAGAAATTTCTCCTTTATATATTTGACTGTTAACCCTGTCAATCAATCAGGTTCAAACATCGTTATTACCAAAATTTTTATCGTTTTCAAATTCCTTAATTTCCTCTCCGTTCTACTTCATTGAACGCGTATACAGCGTAGTTGCCCTAATATATTTGTTTTAGTAGCAGATGCTAATTACCACTTACAAGTTCTTTGCTTTTACTGAAACATTCCTTTTTAGTCACATTTAAGTAGTTTGCCTAATAATCCATTACCTTATAAAATGTTCTATGTATTGCCATAGATAATGAAATAGGTTTTTTTATGATTTCGCATTGCTAATGATGTTGCATTTTAGTCCAAATAAGCTTGTCGACTATGCGTATTCAATATTATACTTGTTTATTATTTAATATTTGTATTCAATTTGCCAAAATATTAAAGTTCCACTGTTGGGCAACATTTTCCCCATAAGAAGAGGATTTAGCCAACTAGAATTATCTTGGTATAGGGTTTTTAAGTTTTTCTTCTCTTGCACTACTGGCATATTTCGATTTGTTTCTTTAATCATCTCTTATTATCTGTGATATCATGTGTGACACATTTTGTTTATACCTATCTGATAAAAATAATTACATCTGAATGACTCATTGAAATACAGGTATATAATAAGTGTTGATGTATTCAGCCTAGTTTATATAATGGTGTTGTTTAATTTAGTTAAGATTATATTTTTAAACTGACTTACCAAAGGTACTTGATTACATATTTTATTTTTATGATTATTTTGTGCACAACTCTTGAATCGATTTTGGGAATTCTTTTTTCAATCGAAAGGATTTTTTCGAGTATTGTTGTTTAATAAACCGTTAGTGGATATTGTTTTTATAGCGAAGTATACTTGTCATAATATTTACATAAACTTAATTACCAGGTTTAATTTTATGAACAATGGAAAAAAATAACACAACATTTTTTTGTAAATTTTGCTTAAATTGTGATGGATATACCCCTTTGCTTTTTCATGTGTATCAAAATTTCTAATCGTTTGAAACAGCGCTTGACGAATGAAGCGGAAAATATTTAAATGGAAGCCAAAATAGCGTGCAAGGCGCTTATCCCCGTAAAATATGATGATATTTTTGATCTAAAAAAATTTTTGGAAGAAAATTAAAATTCTTACCGCCCCGGAAATGTAGGAGCGTGCGGAACGAAGCAAGAAATAGGCGATTTCAGTTTACTAACATTAGAATCGTTTGCATTCTTGAATGGCATCTGCATTGTGAACTTCCTGGTTTTATCAATGTAATAGCATTAATAATTTGTTCTGATGTATTGATTGAAATACACATTTATTGTAAAATTTGAGTCCATTGCTAAGTTCTCATAAAAAAATATAGCCATTGATAGAATAGTAAACAAGCAAACTTATTATCACATTTATAATATTAAAAATACATAAATTACATCATTATTATATCAGCCATTATCTGTCCATTACTGTACATAGGTCTTCCCCATTGACTGCCACAAGTGACGGACCTAAGCTACTTGCATCCACTGGCAATGTATTTGAGGTCGTCACTCTATTTAGTGAAAGGTCGTCCTACACTGTGTTTGATTGTAGAGTTGCCACCCAAGAACCTTTTTTTGAGCTAAATAAATATTTACTATATACATAATATATACTGTTTTATACACTTAAATAAATAAATACTTTACTTTACGTTAGTTAATTATTAATTATGGTTTAACAATAATAATTAAGATTAAGATTTTTTTATGATGGCATTATATATATTTTTTAAATTTTATCAAATCGTTAAATAGAGAACTAAACGTTGGATAAAATAGGTGATTATGCTAAAATGGTATTGAGTTATTGTGTTTAAGTTTATTTTAGTTATCACAATCATTTTATTTATTAGGTGTCTATTATTTATTTTTTTATTTTCATAGGTAGTCACTTATTTATTTATTTATTTATAAAAAGTGTAATAATAATATGGGAAATTTAAGTAAAGAACTCTTTAGAAATACATACATTTTTTACACGCAATTGAAACGTATCGAATCACTCAAGCCCTAAATAAAAGCTTTAACTACCCTTACACATAGCATCGACTTTCGAAACGTCATCTCACTGACTACTGTTCTTAAATGAATGGCTCCAAAAAATACTAAATCAGAGCCGAAAACTCGATCCCATCACCCCGTTAGTTGTGGACCCTTGATTTTTTCATTCGGGGTAACGGCGGCGCATTACAATCATAATAGCGATATCGTCTTACCGTTAACGGACGGGCTTTCGGGACGGGGAGTTCAATCTCCGATTAAGCTCGATGATTTAATATATTAAACTTATAGAGAATTTAAATAAAGAATAAACATATGTTTAACTAGGAAATTAATGTTATCTTTACATAAAAATATGAATAATTAAAACAGGACCATGGACGTTACTATTTTATAATCTTATTTGGTGATATTCCTATTTAGGTAGTACGGTTAGTACGATTTTTTATTGGCAGAGAATTATGCATATATACATTCATAATTACATTACAATTCGTAATTTGATGTTAAATACGGCGTTGTTAGAGAATTAATTGAATGCATGTCTCATGAATTCATATTATTCAAACCTGACATTTACTCATATACATATACAAATATCCAGATAATTCTGATGTTTAACAACTGTTATTCCCCGCTAGTTAAACAGTCGATTACTCCATATAGTGGTAACGGCTCGGCGGCTAAAGAACGGCAACAAAGCCTTTTAACTAGGTCATTCACTGTCAAATAATTTGACTGCATTAACATAAAGTCTTTTGTCTCAATGGGGTTAAAATTAAGAGTATTCTAATGGTTTAACCCTAATCGTTATTGGCATAATAATTCACGTTTAATACGTGGTAGTATAAATCCGATCCATTTCGGTGTAAAAGGCGGGAAATTAGAATGTATTAAATGAGTATCATTACTATTAATCTTTTATTATCATAAAGGCATTAATAACTAACATCACAATATCGTTATTGTCTAAGGCACTATGTGTAATAATTACATCCATTTGTATAATGTTTAGGTGCCCTTTTGAATGAATTATTTACAACATAAATTATTTTTATGGCATTAGATTATTTAATTATTAATTATCTAATCTATCGGTAGTGCAAGTCATAATTAACAAGTACGAAAAATAATTTATATAAGCTTTCTCATTTACAATAAAGTGTTTAGCATTAATAATCTATATAGGGAAATGTTTCTAAAAGGTTACACTAATCAACTGACATTTCATGCGTAGTTGGAACTTCACGATCATGATATAAAAACCTTGTAAACACGCAGGCTTTATTATTCTACTGACCGTTATAGAACACCTTGCGCCCGCGCCAACAGTCCACTTTGGCACTTACAGCTGTATGTATCGACTACCTATTGTAATTACATAGTTACATTACATCACAATAAATAACATTATATTCAACTAATTGTTAATTTAAATCTATTACATCCGACGTTAATTGCAGTTCTTAAATTTTGTTATGGGACGGGCTTTTGTTTTCTCTTGCCACCACTTTAAAGTTTCTTCGAATTGTTCTCTATCTTCTGGTGTCACTTGTATATCTGGGAGCTCTTTTTTCAATTCCATATCATCATATCTTTGATTGTCATCTATAAACTCCTCTTCTTCTTCTTTAAATTTGTACTGGTTATGAGACAAAAGAAGATCTGGGTTAATTATTTCTAAAGGCAACGCTGAATCGTCACTAAAACTATGATGCATTTGTTGATGGATAGAATCTGTGTATTTTACTTCAAAATTACTGTCGGTTACTGTCATATCAGTTTCTTCTAAATAATTTTGCTCAGGTATTACTGTGAATTGTTCTGCTGAATTCGGAAATGGAAAGTGTCCCTCCAAAAGATGAGAGTTTACATCTTCTTGACCAAGCAAATCAGATGAAGGAGTCAGAGGGTGTCCTGCTCCTTCTTCTTCTTCATATAAATGTGGCGTAGAAACTAGTTGAAAGTTTTCTGGTGCTGGTAACTCTACGTATTGTTGTTGAGGTAGTTGTTGTAATGTTCCGTCTAACTCATCTTCATCGACGTCATCGTCATCGAGGGCAGGAGAGTTCATTGAGAAATAATTTCTTTCTTGACTATTATCTCTTGGCGAAGAAGATGCTGGGGATGGGAATGACTCCATGGATGGACGACCTCCATTTTCTTTATCTGCATGACCGATGTTCAATAAACTTTCTAGATTTCGGATATATTCCACAGCCATACGCAACGTTTCTACTTTGCTAAGCTTCTTATTAGGTCCTCTGTTCGAATTTGCATTTTCAAAGGCAGCAGCTACTTCATCTGGTATATGTCGACGTAAAGCAGCAAAACCATCATTCACTTGACGTACTCTGTTCCTTTCTCGAGCATTTCTTCTTGCTACGGCCAAAGGTGTTGGTGTTCTAGCAGTTTCTTCAACAATATTTTCACGAAGCCTTGATTTTTTTGCAATTGTACTGGCAGAAATTGGGTCAGTAGCTCGAACCAGAGAAGTGACAGATACCGTTGCGGGTGGAGACTGAATTTTTGGCTTCTTCCTCACAATAATAATTTCACGTCTAACTTTGGTGTCGTTATTTGTTATGTTCACTGAATTATTCACGGATTCCTGTAGCACCTGCGACTTGCCAAGTGGGGAGTTTCGGAAGACAACGACGCCGATCGAACTCATTTCGTAGGAATGAGTTGCAGTTTTCACATGTTATAACTGTTTGTGTTAAATTAGTCTCGGATTCTTTGGATGATGGGATCACGTACTTAAAATAACTGTACTAAGAAATCCTAATGTAATGTTTAGGTGGCGTCCGGGCGCCGGCCGCGACGGGAATGGCGCGTGCCGCGTGGACGCACCTGGGGTGGTTCGCGGGGGGATCAACAGGGGTACTTTACGTTTACTAGTTGCACACATGCTCTTTCGAAGGGGCGGAATGGGGAAGCGTAACTGTTCATTATTTATACATTGCAGTACTTTTATGATCATGCTATAAAATTCTTGCGTACTACGATGGTCTTAAAATTATTAAGTACTTTTACAAATACATAAAGAGAAATATATGGTAGAACATGATATGGGTAACAATTTTGTTTTTAAATATATTCATATTTTAAATACATTATCGGGGATTAACGCGATGCAATTACAGGTAATTAGTACTTGTTAATAATTTAAATTATGTGTCAATAACGCGAAAGTTTATCTAAATATATCCATCTAATTAATTTATAGTATCATAACATAGTATAAACATATAACGTATAAACTTATAAAGTTAATTATGATAATAATTATACTGAATATACAATCTAGTAAAACAAAAATAGGACTTAGTAGGTGAAATGTAGCGTCGAAATATATTGTGGCAAGATATTATTTATAATTACTTCTTTCAATATAATAAAGCATGCTGATTTGGTGTGACGATGCATATATAGACAGTATATAGGTAGTTTTATAAACAATTTATTTTTCTAAAAATCAAACATATTATAGGCATTATAATAAATTATTATTACTTATTCAGAAACTTTATCATTGACATTATCTATAAAGTAGAATATTAATTTCAACTAATTTCTTGTAAATCATTATATTCTTCCATTATAATTATTTAGCATTGGTATGATTTTATTTATATTTCAAATGTTTTGGATAAATTATTAATTCTGTTTTCGAACCAGAACGCGGCCCCTTTATATAAACCGTATTGTGGACAATAATTTTCATGGGGTGTCGCACCCAACTATCGATGTGTGTTTGTGTTTGTAACACGCACACAGTTTCTTAATCAAAATGCCTGCACATTATATATGTACAAATGCACACATGTGCAATAATGAGACAAAAACCGTTCGCGTGCTTGAATGGAATTTTCAAAACGGCACAGACGCAGGGGCTGGTTCAGACCAGTAGAATTTTAAGTAAATTTACTAGTATGTGCTAAAATGTTTTACAATATAAATACAATAAATTTATAATCCTTAATACTGTTATCTAAATCTGCATAAATAAACCTGTCTGAGGTTTATTGTTCTCGTAGTGTTGATTTGTCCGTTTGACAAAGAACAAACGAAACAGAACGGGAATAAATATTTTTTTTATATAACTTGTAATTACATTAGCTGATTTCTCATCGGATAAAAGTGTAGTGGACTAGATAATAATATTTATAGATAATACTCCCATGTTACTCCTCATATGTTGACATTTTTAAGTACTAAGGCGTTACGCCATCATAGACATAAGTATATAAACTAGGATTTATTCTTATGTCTAAGCTTTAATAAGTTAAATTTTTTTAGCAATTATACGAATTAATAGAACATAAAGGATGTGTAGATAAGACTTTGTTAATTTCTTTTTATTTAAATAAATTTTATTTTGAGTTAATTTCCGAATATAAGTAGATATTTGTTAATTTTTTTTTTAGTAGAAATAACATTAGTTATAAAATTTTAAAATGAATGTTTATTCAAATGATTATATAATAAATATTTTTATTATGAACATTAAAAACAAACGAAGAATTATTTGTAGATTGCTATATAACATATATCATAAACTGCCGTTGGTCCCGGCATAGAAAAGGCCACCCATTCCTTTCTAGTGGACGTCGTAAGAGGCGACTAAGGGAACTTAATGGTAGAGGGATGGGCAATAGCGTCTCTTAAAACATCACTAAAAGCCTAACTGCCGGTGCCAACCCGCCTGCCAAGCTTGGCAACTACTGGCAAAAGTCCCCTTATGAGTAAGGCTTACGTTTAGCACAGTTAACGGCTAATATGATATAGACCTCGCACACATGCACCTTAGTTGTAGATGCATGTGTATGTATGTGTGTGTACGCCCACGCTATCTCGCCAGCTGTTCGCCCTTTAGCTTTTGTCCTCAGGCACGTGCCGACCTACGACTGTTGTATCTGATATAACTGGGCAATTAAACCGTCTTTTGTTGTACAGATTTAAGTACTATTTTACCTAACTGTCAAATAAAAGAGGGTAATGTTTTTTTTAGATGTATATACATGTATTGTTACTTGAATAAAACACTATACCAAGCCGTACGATCAGTATGTTAATAGGGCATTGTATAAAAATCGTTTTACTTGGGTACTTTTATTCTGTTACTAGTTTTAGTGTTTCTGTTGTGAAGTAATTGTATTTGAACGGCTGAGATTTGGTTTGAAGGATAGGATGTGATAGTGAAATTATTACCAGTCCTTAATCATTATTAATTATCATTGTCATTACAATGCCTCATATATCAGGATGCCACAGTGTATCCTGTAACGTCCATGGTATTGTTTATTATATTTGCCATTCTTAATTACATAATAAACAATAAAAAATTTATGCTTGATGGCATAAGAAATGATGATATATTCCAGGAAGAATAATGAAGAGCATATCTATTCATATCAGTAAATGAATCATAAAAATTTAAAATAGTTCTATGATATTGCATAATCGGATAGCACATGGACAGCCTTTGCTCTCCTATAGTAAATGCCATATAAATTCTGGTAAACCAGTATCACTCAATAGAATAGCAATCTGTGTAATTAGATCGAGAAAACACGACTAGTTTTGGGATCAATTCGTGATCCTTAGACATGAGCGACTGTGACGCGAACACATTAAAATATAATGTGCTCTTATAAAACTTTTAACAATAAAATCAATATATTTGTCTGTAATTTGAATGCTGTAAGAAATCAGTAATATTTTATTCAGTTAGTTAATCAGTTAAAGCAGAAGTGTTGATATTATTTCATAAAATATAAAAGTCTTTGTTAATATTATATATGAGAAAATTATTTCTTAACATATCATAAAATATCTTAAATAAATGTACCTATAATTTAGTAATATGTGGTTAGTGTAGTGGGTGGCGCATCTATTATAATAGTTATTCTAACAACCTACTTTAAGTAATATAGGTATGTAATGTATCATTGCTTGTTAACCTAAATAAATTAAAAAAAGAAAAAAATAAGCAAATCGAAGAGGTAGTGACCTGACTGTATAAAAAGACTCATTAAATACAAAACTAAATAATATTTTTTTGTTAGTTCTTACGTTACTATTACTTAAATATCGACGTTTGTGGCTTTCTATCATAATTTTTTTTTAATATTACAACGCCTACTAAAATAAAATCAGCAAAAATATTACATGTGGTTTTATTCCCGTCTTGGCATCTTAAGGCGCTTAGACGACAGGTTTTTTTCATAAAAATACTCTGAACGTTGAAACAATACACTGTCTTTAGATTAGTAAATGTAATGGTACTAATACTCAAAAGTGCATCCTGTAATTCAAGATGTCAGATTTTTTCTCCGCAATCCGCTGGTAAAGCGATGCTCACCATCTTGCGAACATATGGGTCCCGTACATCAGAATCGCGGGGCCTATATTTCGTATAGCTATATTTAGCCTAACCACATGTGATTTGAAAGGGAAAGGTGGAACTAAGGAGAGCTCAGAGTACGAAGAATACCGTAAGTGAGGTTGGTAATGTAACTACATAAACTGTCTGTCAAAATATAGTAACCCTTTCCTTATAGTTTTTATGCGTTTTTTTTTTAAGTTTTTCGTGAGAAGAATCTTTATTAATATACTAAATGTGAAAGTAAGTTTGTTGATTTGTTATTTTAAAGTGTTTTAATCAATGACTATGAAGTTTGGTATTCACATATACTATATGGGATAAAGAAGGATAAGCTATGTTTATCCCAGTCGTGCTTACGAAGACACAGGTAAAAGCTAGGTTTAAATAATTCAAGATTTAGTTTCATGCAATGAAACTTGATCTTGAATAAAGTATTCGAACCAACAGGAAAGTAGACTCTTTTGACAAAAAAAATATGCCGAAGGTAAATGTAATATATCATACACGATAAATACAGGTGAATTGAGGACTCCTCCTTTTGAGGTTGGCTGAAAATGACGGACTTGTTTCTAAATGATTCTATGAAGAAAATAATAAATAAGATAATAAAAATAATGAGAAATATTTAGAGAAATTATTCGGATTAATATCAGTTGCTGAATTTAATAACTTTACAACTCGTCACTAGTTGCTCCTGACCATTTGGATGAGTGGCAGTCCTCCACCGTGCGTTTCTGTAGACATTTTCTTCCACACACAACCAAAGTATAGAAACAACTACCAACAACAATATTTTCGAACATTTACGTCATTGAAACCTTTAAGAAAAGAGTTTATTCCATCTTAAAAGGTCGGTGTCATACCTGTAATTTCTCTGTTGTCGCATGCTTGTTTGCCTCCTTTGTTATAAAAAAAGAAATTTGATGAATAATTTATATATTGAATCGGAATTGTGGTAAGAAGTTGTCAGGACAGAAATAGGTTTAGATATGGTCTTCAGGTAAATTAAAATTATAGGTAATAATAGAACAATCGGTCAGTTAGATTTACCGTATGTACCTAAATATATTCAAATTAGAGTTAAAAAAAATTTGGCAATTATATTAGAAAAAATAATAAAATGCATTAAGTAATAAATTATTTGAGTTTAAAATTAAAGTACAGAAGCATTTGTGTACTCTTTCTCTCTAAATATGTTACTATATATATTACTATTAAGATTTTGTGTGATTAGTAATAGTAATCGCTTATGAAATCGATTAAAGCTATGGGGAGTAACGTAAAAGTAATAATAAACTATAAAGAATAATATAGACGGTTGTTCTATTTACTTACTCGTATTAGGGTGGCAGACTCAGAATACATGGTAGAGTTTCAAATTATTAATGAAGTTAAAATATAAATATAAAATTTAAGCGATTTCAATATAATTTTCTGAATTGATTACAATTTAAAAAGTGGCTTTCTATTTAATAAAAATTATAAGCTAACAAACAGTAATTTTGATGTCTTTTCACATTTTGCAATAATTTAACTTAATTTAATTTGTCATTTTATTGTCAATTCAAGTTTCTTTGGTCAGGATAATGACTGGCTCGGTCAGCTAGTAGGCGAATATATAAGTTTACTATATACTAATAGTTAATATTTGTAATGTGTAAATTCTTATAATTA